TTGGTAGAGTGATATAGAAATACCACTGTTAAAATAGTACTCAAAACATCAATTGTAGAGTGATATAGAAATACCACTGTTAAAATAGTACTCAAAACATCAATTGTAGAATGATATAGAAATACCACTGTTAAAATAGTACTCAATACATCAATTGTAGAGTGATATAGAAATACTACTGTTATAATAGTACTCAATACATCAATTGTAGAGTGATATAGAAATACCACTGTTAAAATAGTGTTCAATACATCAATTGTATATAGAGTCTTATAGAAATACTATTGTTGAAATAGTGCTCAAAACATCAATTGTAGAGTGATATAGAAATACCACTGTTAAAATAGTGCTCAATACATCAATTGTAGAGTGATATAGAAATACCACTGTTAAAATAGTGCTCAAAACATCAATTGTAGAATGATATAGAAATACCACTGTTAAAATAGTACTCAATACATCAATTGTAGAATGATATAGAAATACCACTGTTAAAATAGTACTCAATACATCAATTGTAGAGTGATATAGAAATACCACTGTTAAAATAGTGCTCAATACATCAATTGTAGAGTGATATAGAAATACCACTGTTAAAATAGTGCTCAAAACATCAATTGTAGAGTGATATAGAAATACCACTGTTAAAATAGAGCTCAATACATCAATTGTATATAGAGTCTTATAGAAATACCACTGTTAAAATAGTACTCAATACATCAATTGTAGAGTGATATAGAAATACTACTGTTATAATAGTACTCAGTACATCAATTGTAGAGTGATATAGAAATACCACTGTTAAAATAGTGTTCAATACATCAATTGTAGAGTGATATAGAAATACTATTGTTGAAATAGTGCTCAAAACATCAGTTGTAGAATGATATAGAAATACCACTGTTAAAATAGTACTCAATACATCAATTGTAGAGTGATATAGAAATACCACTGTTAAAATAGTGCTCAATACATCAATTGTAGAGTGATATAGAAATACCACTGTTAAAATAGTGCTCAATACATCAATTGTAGAGTCATATAGAAATACCACTGTTAAAATAGTGCTCATTACATCAATTGTAGAGAGATATAGAAATACCACTGTTAAAATAGAGCTCAATACATCAATTGTAGAGTCATATAGAAATACCACTGTTAAAATAGTGCTCATTACATCAATTGTAGAGAGATATAGAAATACCACTGTTAAAATAGTGCTCATTACATCAATTGTAGAGAGATATAGAAATACCACTGTTAAAATAGAGCTCAATACATCAATTGTAGAGTCATATAGAAATACTACTGTTAAAATAGTACTCAATACATCAATTGTAGAGAGATATAGAAATACCACTGTTAAAATAGTGCTCAATACATCAATTGTAGAGCGATATAGAAATACCACTGTTAAAATAGTACTCAATACATCAATTGTAGAGAGATATAGAAATACCACTGTTAAAATAGAGCTCAATACATCAATTGTAGAGTCATATAGAAATACTTTATGTTATGCTGTTTAACTAAAATGCGTTTTCTCAAAACGACCTATTTGAAGTTATTGCTCGTTCCGACTTTTTACAGCGCAATTTTTATTCTTTACATTGAAGAAGTTCGAAAACTTACCATTAACCCAGACCCAGTTACCTTCTCTAACTCTATCAGAGGCACCAATCCATATCACTTTTCTTCCCCATCCAATACTGTGAGCAGTGGACATTGTGAAGCGTTGGGTCTGGGAGTCGAGAAGCTGTATGAGGTTACCTCCCCTACTACGACAAGCAGCTTGTGCCTGGTCCCAGTACAATTGATCTGTATCAAACATATAGCAATATTCACCGTGTTTAAACACCGGTTCCGATTCTTGTAATATACCATCACATTGTGATAAATCTATACAATCTGAAGAAATGATAGAATGAAAAGTATATAGCATACAGTGGCAGATGCATTCTTACAAACATTTTGGAACTTACAAGCATAAAAATCATTTTTTGATATGAAAACTAAAGTGGGGGTCTGAACAATTTTTCTACGAGTCAAATGCACACGCTTTCCTGTACTCATACTGCACCGGTGGCGTTTCGACTTTGGTCTAATTTCAAATTCTCTACCATTTAACTTAGGGAAGAAATTATGTGACCCTTAGAGTAGAAACCCCACTGCTACCAATGAACGACCCATGTTTTAACGGCTGCCTGGAAGCACAGGGATTTGAATTTTCTACAATATATCAAAGTAAGAAAGAAAAGTACAAAAACAAAATATGCCAATAATTGGAAATCTTACCTACAAATTTTAATAAATGCATACACCATAAAATTAAGATGAATCTCGCGGCCATCTTATTTCAACTTCTGACCCGCTCTGTCCTATTATCACAGAACAAATATTTTGTATTTCTGATAAAATTTTCTAGGTAAACTGGAATTTTCGTTATCAAATTGTCGCATTACATAATAGATAGGTTTGACATGCGTCATTTAATTGGGTCATTATATGAAAAATAGATGAGAACAACCGTAGCCAGACTTGATTGTTCTGAGGGGCAAGTAAAGTAATATATCCGGAGGAACCATTCAAAAGCCACAAGCGTGCAGTCTTCCGCCTTTTAAAAAGAAAATTGACCTTGAAATAATGCATTCTGAAGTATATTTGAATATATGTAATGGTTATTTCGGTAGTGTTGTTTGGGGAAAACAGGAACTTACTAAAATCGTCGGGGGTAGGGGTTGGATTCTCACGAAGAAGAAGAGTGGAGACCAACAGTTGGTATCAGGAGTATCACCTCATCCAGGCCCGTAGCCAGACTTTGTTGAAGGGGCAAGTAATCCGGAGGGTCAATGGGGGTATGGTATTTAGTTGTTTGTCGGTTGTTGAATTTTTTCAGGGGGCTGACCTCAACACCTACACCAACTTTCTCTTCTCAAGGTATAAGACGGAGTTCCTTAAGATTTAGACATTGTTTGCCCATTATTATACAACTGGCCAGGGTAATTATCTATTATGAATTAATACACCCTAATTACTCCCCAAAAATGTATAATATCTCATTGTCCTGGTGAAGATTGTAATAAAGTTTCTTTCCAACCTTCACTTATAAAATACAAGTACATAAAGAAATGATTTATTTAATTTTTTTTACATTTTCCATCACATTTTTTTTTTTCTTCTTTCATATATTTTTTTGTAAATTTTTGTTTCTTTCTTGGTTAAAATTTTTTTTAAAATAGACAAATCCGACAGCACATTAAAAAAGTAGCACATTCAGATATTTTTAAATGGCAGAACACAAACTTATAAATGCTTTCAAACTTCGTCTGATACCTTGACTGCAATCTTCCTTTCTTGCATGGAATACAGCAATTTGATTGGATTGTACATCAGCGAAATACAGGCTTTGACAGAGAGACCATTAACATTATGGATTTTCATTAACAGACAATCTGTCGAGGGTTTTGATTGGCGATTGTCGAGGGTTCTGATTGGCAGTATTCATTAGTGTACAATCCTATCAAATCACTTCACTCTGTGATGAAAGAAAGGTGGCTATTGCAGTCAAAGTATAAGTATATTTAGATTACAATTATCATGTGTAGTTATTACTGATGATGTCAAGTTTATTGGCTTGTGATAATCAGATATACATGTATGCATAACGCTTTTCAGAATTAAAACTTGAAAGTATAGTTCTCAAGCAATTTAACAAAAACATTGACAGTTACATTCATTTGAGTTTCAAAGTGAGAAATAAACAACTCTTAAAGGGGAATGCCCAGATTAAAAAAAAAAAATAGTGAACAAATTATTTCTCCTTTTGTACACAGATTTCTCCATTTTGGTTAACATTTTAAAATCATTCTTTTTTCAGTGATGTCAAAAAGGAGTAAAGTTTTGTTTCATAAAATTCATTTGAAAATAATGGATTTAAAAAAAAATTTCAGCTTAGCATTAAGTTGATTGTAAGAATGTTTATAAACATATAATGTGTATCAAAAATTTATGACTATTATTCGCATCATTCAAATTTTCAAATAGATGTCTGTAGTTCCTGAAAATGAAGCATATAGAAGCACAGATGTGTCTGACGTCTGCAAATGCAAATGGAATGGTGCAAATTGATGCTATCAGTGTTTCTAATACACTTAAAGAGTTAAGAAATACTTAAAACAATGAACTCTCTCTTAAATGCTTGTACACACACTCTCTCCCTTAATAATGATGACCCCAACAAATCTGGGATGCCCATTTACTGAATGCATTTTAATGCCCAAAATTATAAAGAGTTATTGGGTCTTAATGATATTAGAGATGGCTGGATATATTGAAGAACATAAATAAAAATAATAAAAATCAATCCACCAGGGTTAGTTAATTCAGATAAACCCTAATTCTGGTACTTATGTTATTTTTTGTACTTTCACCACATAATTCTTGTACTTTAATCCTATCATTCTTGTACTTTTACCACATAATGCTTGTGTATAATCCACAAAACATGGTCTAGTTTTGCTCATTCTACACCAGTCTACAACTTTCAAATTAGCTATCAGGCAGATGCTTTGGACTATTTAATCCTGTAATCCTTGTACTTGAATCCTGTTATCCTTGTACTTGAATCCTGTTATCCTTGTATTTTAAGCCCCTAATCCTTGTACTTTAAGCCTGTAATCCTTGTACTTTAATCCTGTTATCCTTGTACTTTAATCCTGTTATCCTTGTATTTTAAGCCCATAATCCTTGTATTTTAAGCCTGTAATCCTTGTACTTTAAGCCTGTAATCCTTGTATTTTAAGCCTGTAATCCTTGTACTTTAAGCCTGTTATCCTTGTACTTTAAGCCTGTAATCCTTGTACTTTCATACTGTTATCCCAATATCCCTGTACTTTAATCCACAATCTTTTTATATTCCTTTTAACAATCAATTAAACTTAAAATAAATCTGAACTATCTTACAATCAATAAAATTTCACACCAGTCAATTTGTGTCTACCACCACTATAACCAACTGTCTCAATCTTTACCTCTTTTAATATAAGCCTAAAAGAAAAACAAATATTGGAATAATCTGCAAAAATTTGACTACAAATATAAGGCGGTCCAAAAAATAAACGATAACTCTTTTCATTTCAGGATTATCTACAAAGTATCAAAGCTGAGATCATGATCTTTTGACCTTGTAAGACAAAATAACAAATTTATAGGTTTAACAACTTGAAATGATAACAATCAGTTTTGTTACTGTCAAAAATAACAATGAAAAGAGTAATAATTTTCATCTCACTAGACATTATGAATGACAAATTGTCAATATGTGACCTTCATGTCACATCTTCCTCAACAAGGAAGAAGTTATTAACATAAAAATGGCAAGTTTTCTCGTCCTCTGGCACTGCATTTTCTATCTGGATGACATACTGTTTACGGTAGCACTCCAAGAAGATGCTAGAGGTTCCCCAGTAGTGATAAAAAGTTCATTAATTGTGCGATGACTTCACTTTCAGATAATTTGATGCTGTCAAGAAATTGTATGGCTTTACGGCAAAAAAAGGTATAAGGGCATAGGCATTTATTAGTTATTTCAAAAGTGACCTGTCTTTTGCATTTCAGTATACATAAACCGATTAGAAAAAACCACCTCGCAAGTAGGGTTGGTCGATTAGGCTAATCGATTTGAATTAGAGTTAAAACAAATACGTCGATTAGCTTAACCTGATTTGATTAGGGTGTGAATCAAATACGTATCAAGCCTAATTAAATCTGATTGGGTTGAAACAAATATGCTCTGACCAACAGAACCACGTAAGATTCTATTAAAACTTAAAACTTACAGTCCATTTCAGAGGTTCATTATCCGCTTTTAATACACAATCAACTAATGTAAATAATGTTATTTCTTGCTGGCTTTCTTCTGGATTTTCTTCTGTTGATGGCCAAGTTAATGTTAACTTTGGCACTTTTGAACCTTTATCAAATGCTTTGTCTTTTATTTCTAATTTCTGAAAATTTAAAAACACTAACGAATATAACTATTGTTAAAATATAACTAGTGTTAAAATATTGCTTTATGTATAAATTACAGAGGGATATATAGAAATATCAAAACAAATTGATTTATGAGGTTTATCTCAGATAACTGGATCATTTCAGTCCCTACTGAAGATGCTATCTTGGATCTTGTGGGATCTTTAATAATTTATGTTGTTATTTTAGACAGCTTGACTTTTCACTTAAAGTCACTCAAAATTTCACTTGAGCTCTACCTTAAAGGAACAGATGTGCCATTTTAGGGGGGTTGATTTAAGTCATGAATAAATATGTAAATAGTCTTCAGAAATACTAGAAATGTACATAAATTGTTTAATTCCTTCAAATATATCTCAAACTAGGAATGTCTTTTCCTATTTCTATAGATATCTTTAGTGTCTCAAGAAAAGACGACTCATCTTTTTAACTTTCAAACGCTGATAATACTGGACACACATTGATTTGAAGGTTTAAATTTCGACGGTAAGCTATGAACGCTATAACTGATTGGCTTATCTAAATTAATTCCTGTTTCTGACACTAAGGTACTATTGGTCCATTATCTGTATCTTAAACATATTAACCTTGCCATGGGTCTAAATACTCCTCAAGTAAGAAAAATTCTGAAGCCATGGCCTGTGCTTTCACCCTCTATAACATGGGCAACATTTGTGTCACTTAAAATTGCTTTTGTGAATATTGTATCAAGAGATTTGACTTTTCTTGATATTTTGATCTAGGAAGTTTCTGAATGGAGGTTAGTTACCAAAGTATTTTCTTTGATCAATTTGTAGTTGGAGTTTCTGATAGTTACTTACATCACAATAGACACGTTTAACTACACCTAGTTTTAATATAAACACATCAAAAGCTCTGTCTAATACTGCCATTACCATTCCTTTCTCTTCAAACGGACCTGCCTCCTAAAAAACATTCAAAAATTAAATTAAAGAGATAGCTTCCAGGAAAGATAATATAACAGAAGGCACAAATCTTGACAGATTTTGACGAAACTTGTGTTTTTGTGATCACCATAGGATGAACTCAAATCAAAGAAAAATGTTCTCAGATCATAGACAAAAGTTCACCTACTCAGGGAAAAATTAGAAACAAAGAATCTCATTACTAATCATTTACGTAGCACAATTCTCATTTTTAAACAAAATAATTTCATAAATATATGAACTATTAGGACTCACCTTGACAAAAACAGCAAAAAAGATGTCATTACTGGTTTCTGAACAGGTTTTAGCATTGGTCTTTTTATCATTACAATGACTGGCTATTTTCTGCAGATCTTCTTTGTCTGTACTCAGTGGTTCACAGTAATCTATCAAATGAAATTGACTTTGAACTAATAAAGATGCATTGAGCAATGAGGGAAATTTTGTCAGGGCAAATACTACTGTTACCAAGTGAAAAGGGCTATTATTAGGGAACAACTGCTGTTACAGAGGCAATAGTTTTCAGTATACTGTGTATATTATATATAGTTATAACATACCTCGTGAAGCAGCTAGTAATCTATGTACTAGTACATGTATATTGTTATAACATACCTAGTGAAGCAGTTAGTAATCTATGTACAAATATATAGTTATAACATATCTAGTGAGGCAGCTAGTAATCTATGTACTAGTATATGGTTATAACATACCCACTGAGGCAGCTAGTAATCTATGTACAAATATATAGTTATAACATGCCTAGTGAAGCAGCTAGTAATTAATGTACAAGTATATAGTTATAACATACCTAGTGAAGTAGCAAGTAATCTATGTACTAGTATATTGTTATAACATACCTAGAAGCAGCTAGTAATCTATGTACAAGTATATAACATGTTATAACATACCTAATGAGGCAGCTAGTAATCTATGTACTAGTATATAATATGTTATAACATACCTAGTGAGGCAGCTAGTAATCTATGTACAAGTATATAGTTATAACATACCTAGTAAAGCAGCTAGTAATCTATGTACAAGTATATAGTTATAACATACCTAGTGAAGCAGCTAGTAATCTATATACTAGTATATAGTTATAACATACCTAGTGAAGCAGCTAGTAATCTATGTACAAGTATATCAGGATAACGTCTAATATCTAATCTATGTACAAGTATAGTTATAACATACCTAGTGAGGCAGCTAGTAATCTATGTACAAGTATATAGTTATAACATACCTAGTGAAGCAGCTAGTAATCTATGTACTAGTATATAACATGTTATAACATACCTAGTGAGGCAGCTAGTAATCTATGTACAAGTATACAGGTATAACATACCTAGTGAAGTAGCTAGTAATCTATATACAAGTATATAGTTATACCATACCTAGTGAAGCAGCTAGTAATCTATGTACAAGTATATAGTTATAACATACCTAGTGAAGCAGCTAGTAATCTATATACTAGTATATAGTTATAACATACCTAGTGAAGCAGCTAGTAATCTATATACTAGTATATAGTTATAACATACCTAGTGAAGCAGCTAGTAATCTATGTACAAGTATATCAGGATAACGTCTAATAGGTGATGTAAAGTGGGTATATAATGGTACGTTTAAGGCATAATGCCGGTAATCTTCTTCATCTTTATACATTCCAGCACAGAAATATTTGGCAATCTAAAATTAACAGAAAAAAAAACTACTGCTAAAGGGATTGTAAAGAGGTTTTTTCTAAATTTTTTATGTGTATCTGGTACACTGATAGCATCAATTTGCACCATTCAATTTTCAATCAGACATCTGTGGTTCCTGCAATTCCACTTAATTTAAGTGTTTGATGACATCACTAATTGTAGTAATTTATAAGATAAAGCATATTTTGTGATTATTTACCCTAAAAAACCTCTTTACAATCCCTTTAACATAATTGTGAAAGAGGGGGTTTGCCCCATCTTTGAAATTTGCAAGATTTGTATTTAAATTCTTTCTTCTGTATACAGATTGATCAATTTTTTGTAAAAATTTCATAACACTTTTTATTAAAACATCTGATTTTCTTCTTTTTTTCACACTTCCTCCCCTAAAGTCAAATTATGAATTTAATTTTTCAATCCCTGTTTCATTTTCATTAAATACAGTAATAAGTAATATTTTATATAAATATTTTAATACTTACTTGCATTGGTTTAGAACACATGGCCACTAAAACTTGCATCCTAGCTGTAGTATATTCATCATTACCTACATATCTCATTATAGATTGCTGTAAAGAGACAAATAAATAAATGATCTTAAAGGGATTCTAAAGAGGTTTTCTAAAATTGTTCATGTGTATATAGGGGACACTTACTTTACAGATTTTTAAAGAAGTATTGATAGCCCAGAACAAAAGAACCTCCAAACATGTTTAAACTTAAAAACTTAATGAAACTTACATGAATAGCTTGTGAAGATGATACATCCATATCAATTCCTAATTCTTGACAAGTATCTTTCTACAATAAACCATTAACAACAATGTGAGTTCTTACAAAAATACAATCAAATCAAGACAATTAAATACAAAATATTTGTCAAGTTAGGTAAACCTGTAGAAAACATATTTTCTCTCAATAAATATAACTGTAAATTGGTATGGATAGCAATATCTAGAGTATCAAGATAGCAATATCTAGAGTATCAAGATAGCAATATCTAGAGTATCAAGATAGCAATATCTAGAGTATCAATATAGCTATATCTAGAGTATCAAGAGAGCAATATCTAGAGTATCAAGATAGCAATATCTAGAGTATCAAGATAGCAATATCTAGAGTATCAAGATAGCACAATCTAGAGTATCAAGATAGCAATATCTAGAGTATCAAGATAGTACAATCTAGAGTATCAAAATAGCAATATCTAGAGTATCAATATAGCTATATCTAGAGTATCAAGATAGCAATATCTGGTGTATCAAGATAGCAATATCAAAATAGCAATATCTAGAGTATCAAGATAGCAATATCTAGTGTATCAAGATAGCAATATCTACAGTATCAAGAGAGCAATATCTAGAGTATCAAAATAGCAATATCTAGAGTATCAAGATAGCAATATCTAGTGTATCAAGATAGCAATATCTAGAGTATCAAGATAGCAATATCTAGAGTATCAATATAGCTATATCTAGAGTATCAAGATAGCAATATCTAGTGTATCAAGATAGCAATATCAAAATAGCAATATCTAGAGTATCAAGATAGCACAATCTAGAGTATCAAGATAGCAATATCTAGAGTATCAATATAGCTATATCTAGAGTATCAAGATAGCAATATCTAGAGTATCAAGATAGCACAATCTAGAGTATCAAGATAGCAATATCTAGAGTATCAAGATAGCTATATCTAGAGTATCAAGATAGCAATATCTAGAGTATCAATATAGCTATATCTAGAGTATCAAGATAGCAATATCTACTGTATCAAGATAGCAATATCAAAATAGCAATATCTAGAGTATCAAGATAGCAATATCTAGTGTATCAAGATAGCAATATCTAGAGTATCAATATAGCTATATCTAGAGTATCAAGATAGCAATATCTAGTGTATCAAGATAGCAATATCAAAATAGCAATATCTAGAGTATCAAGATAGCAATATCTAGTGTATCAAGATAGCAATATCTAGAGTATCAAGATAGCAATATCTAGAGTATCAATATAGCTATATCTAGAGTATCAAGATAGCAATATCTAGTGTATCAAGATAGCAATATCAAAATAGCAATATCTAGAGTATCAAGATAGCAATATCTAGAGTATGAAGATAGCAATATCTAGAGTATCAAGATAGCTATATCTAGAGTATCAAGATAACAATATCTAGTGTATCAAGATAGCAATATCAAAATAGCAATATCTAAAGTATCAAAATAGCAATTGTATCAAGATAGCAATATCTAGAGTATCAAGATAGCAATATCAAAATAGCAATACCTAGAGTATCAAAATAGCAATATCTAGAGTATCACAATAGCAATATCTACAGAATCAATATAGCTAGAGTATCGAAATAGCAATATCTAGAGTATCAAGATAGCAATATCAAAATAGCAATATCTAAAATATCAAAATAGCAATAGTATCAACATAGCAATATTTAGTGTACCAAGAATACGATAATAGCAACATCTAGAGTATCAATATAGCCATATTTAGAGCATCAAGGTAGCAACATCTAGAGTACCAGGGAATACCAAGATAGTAATATCTAGAATACCACGTTATATTTAGATCATTTTGGAAAGGTAAATGTCTGGTATGGACAAGGACAGTAGATAAAGAGTGTAACATTAGTCAAGGAATGTCTTTTCAATCTAATCAATGTTACAGCTCCAGATATTTTGCTTCATATATTTTCTGTGAGTTACTGTATTCAATCTAGGTCTTAGGATATCTTCTTCAAGGTTAACTTCATGGCAAATAGACAAAGAAAATCTACTGTTATAAATGAACCTTTACAAGTAGATGACTAAAAAACAATTCAAAGTGTTGGTTAATCTTTTAATTTATAGAGCATTTGATTGGTTAAAAAGTTGAACATATCTTTTTCATAAATTTCGCTAGATCTCGAATGAAAGATAACAGTCCAGAAAAATATCAGAAAGAATATATCAAATAATAGCTTTAAAATGTTTTCTAAATTTTTCATGTGTATCGGGGACACTGATAGCATCGATTTGCACTATTACAAGTTTCCATCAGATGTCTGTGGTTCCTGCAATTCCACTAGAGCTAAGTGTTTGATGACGTCACTAATCTCAAAATATACTTTATCATTTAGCGCCCTTCCTGATTAGTGACGTCATCAAACATTTAGTTTTAGTTTTTTGAAATTGCAGAAACTAGACTGAAAGTTGAAAAGATGCAAATTGATGATATCGGTGTCCCTGATACACATACAAAATTTAGTCAACCTCTTCACAATCTCTTTAAGACTAGAAAGAATATTACCAATTCTTGAATCATTCTAGATTGTGGTGCTGGGTGACATCTTAAAATAGCTTTCTCAGGAAAACTACTGTTTATTTTATGAGCTACAGCCATGTTGGCTAGCAACATATATTCTTCTATTAATCTGAAAATAAACATTTTTTTATCATTTTCAAATAGATTATGAAGAAATCCCTCCAGTTGACCCAGCTGTAAATGGTTAGGGATAATCAATGCCAAGAGGTTTGACCAAGGACCAGCTGGTATAAAGGATCCTTAACTGTGAACCTAAGTTGTTATACTTATAAAATATAGTTGTTTGTTTCTTTCTTTTCATAAAACCAGCAACTTATAACAAATACTTATCAAATAAAAATTATTGAAAAATTGTTAATGGATAATTAAAAGGAGTAAAAATCAGTTTAAAATTTAGAATGCCTCAATGTAAAAAAAAACTGGAATTGTGACTAAAATCTTCAATGTTCAATAAAAAATAGATTTTTTGAAGTAAATGTCAGTAGAAGGAGCAACCCTGGTTTTCTAGACTTCATTCGGTAATGAAATTTTTACAGATAGCTTACAAGGCAAGGTAATATACGCCCACTGGCAGCTTTGATTTTAAATAAAAATATTTAGCAGTACATTTACAATTACCAGTATGATATATTCAACCTTCAGACATAAACTTCTTTTGAACTTTTTGAGGCGATACTGAATAATTTTACCAAGTTTCATCAAAATCTGTCAAAAATTGGGCCTTCTAGAGTGTTTACTGGCTAAAAATTTAACACGTTTTCAAGAACAAGGGCAATAACTCATACTAATTATTTTTCGACTTTTCTGATTTTCAATAACGTTCATACTTGGATGACTACCAACACTCACACCAAGTTTCGTCAAAACAGTCAAGAATGTTTACGAGAAATTCTGGATAAGACGGACGGACGGATATGAGTTACAACAATATATGCCCCCCATTTCACGTGGGCGTATACAAACTGTCTGTCAAATTTTGTTAACAATTAGCTTTTTATCCTTCCTCACGACTATGATATAAATATAATTTTATAAAATATACTCTTTAAATAAGTTCATATTGCCATTTAATATAGATATATACATACCTATTACTATCTCTCTGTTCATACACAGTATAACCATTAGGTAATCCTGTTTCATCATCCAGGCTAAACTGTAATTTCACCTGGTCTAACCGTAGAGCACCTTGATCAAACCGGTATTTACGTAGACATTTGGCAATCTAGTGAAGTATATTGGAATATCATAGTCAGAATTACTGTGAAATCATTTATTTTTGGTGGTCATTGAATTTTGTGGATTTTTCCAAAGATGCAAATGTCTAGCGTACGAAAATTCAACATTGCAAAATAAGGAGTATCAAGATAAAAATCTCAAGAGTTGCAAGATATCTAGAATACAAAGATAGCAATATCTAGAATACAAAGATAGCAATCTCTAGAATAGCAAGATAGCAATATCTAGAATACAAAGATAGCAATCTCTAGAATACAAAGATAACAATATCTAGAATACAAAGATAGCAATATCTAGAATACATAGATATCAATATCTAGAGTATCAAGATAGCAATCTCTAGAATAGCAAAGATAGCAATATCTAGAATACAAAGATAGCAATATCTAGAATACAAAGATAGCAATATCTAGAGTATCAAGATAGCAATCTCTAGAATAGTAAGATAGCAATCTCTAGAATAGCAAGATAGCAATATCTAGAATATAAAGATAGTAATATCTAAAGTACCAAGATAGCAATATCTAAAGTATCAAGATAACAAATATCTAGAGTACCAAGATATCACAATCAAGAGTATCAAGATAGCTATATCTAGAGTATCAATATCTAGAGTACTAAGATAGCACAATCTAGAGTATCAAGATAGCAATATCTACAGTATCAAGAGAGCAATATCTAGAGTATCAAAATAGCAATATCTAGAGTACCAAGATAGCTATATCTAGAGTATAAAGATAGCTATATCCAGAGTATCAAAATAGCAATATCTAGAGTACCAAGATAGCTATATCTAGAGTATAAAGATAACTATATCCAGAGTATCAAGATAGCAATATCTAGAGTATCAAGATGGGTTGAATAGAAAAATAGCAATACCAAGAAAAACCAAGATAGCTATATCTCAGATGTAGAAACTTACCTTATGTAAAATAAGAGTTCTAGATTTAATATCTTCTACAGTGAAACCTTCAGAGATGGGAGGTAACTCTTCTTCTTTCCATTCTCTATCTGGATTCTCAATAAAACCCTAAAATGTTGAACAAATCAAAGACAGCTATGAAATTGAGTAATTTTTTATTATCTGCTTCAATTTGAACTGACAAATGAAGGTGATGCCAGGAAGTGTGCATCGAGAAAAATGTATCCAGGTCAGTGACATTTCCTAATGTCAAAATATGAGATGAATGGTGTTTTACGTCCTATGTCCTCTGAACCATGTGGGCTAATGAAGACGGCAATGCCATGCAGGGTACAATGAGGGAAATTAGCCTGCCCTTTTTCAATTTCCACCGGTCAAGGAATCTTTAATGTGCACAGCCTGCAGGGCCCTCCTAATGTCAAGTGATTCTAAATAAGCAAAGCCTGTAGCACACAGGCTCTTAGGTTTAATGACTTTTTAACTTTCTCCATGTCAGTCCCACTCATCTGCCAAGGGAGACACTACACTTGTCATCTCGTCCTAAGTTAGCAAGCAATTGTCAATCACATTGAGCTAGTTAATGGAAGGTTATATTTCGGGCAGATGAAAAGTTTATTAGCTGCTACCAGTGCTACCAATGTATAACCAATATGCTGTTATGGATTCTGGTTTTGTATTGCTGTTCGGATTGTTAGCACTTTTAGTTTTTGTTGGTTTTTTTTGTTATTAAACCATGAAATAAGGATTATTCTGAGTAATAATACTATTGATAAAACTGTAAACTTCCATTTATAAACCATAATAACGAAGATTTAATAATCCACCATGCATTACTTACCTGTGCATGATTATAGCTGAGTTTTACACAAGACTTGATCACACTTCTACCAAACCATTCTTTAGATATCTGAAATATATACCAATAAATACTGACTACTAAAGAATTACAAAATAAAACCAAGCAATGTAACCTGTGTTTAACTGAGAAGCTTTCCATCATAAATGCTCGAAAGCACACTTCTTTAAACAAATGTTCTGAACTTATCTCGAAATGTGAACTCTGAATAACAACATGTTTCAGGTTCTGAATATTTCGAAGAACATAATATATGAATATAGTCAATGCTCTTGAAAGCGAAAAAAAAAATCATTTGGGCAACGACAGAATTAAGCATGACTGGGTCAGTGTTTTTTTAAACCTGTCATAAAAACAAACATCTACCTACCTCTCCTTGACTGTTGATATGCCAACATACAGAAAATGTTAGTCTATCTTTATCTGGGTTTAAACTACATAATTCTTCACATAGTAACCTTGGTAACATAGGTATAACCTGTTAAAATAAAAAAAAAAATAGGTATAACCTGTTAAAATAAAAAAAATAGGTATAAAATGTTGAATTATAATACAGAAAGTTCTAACATATACCTGTTCAATTAAAGTAATAAAGTTATAACCTGTTTAATTACAGTAATAAAGTTATAACCTGTTTAATTACAGTAATAAAGTTATAACCTGTTCAATTACAGTAACATGTTTATAACCTGTTCAATAAGTAATAAAGTTATAACCTGTTCAATTAAAGTAATAAAGTCATAACCTGTTCAATTACAGTAACATGTTTATAACCTGTTCAATAAGTAATAAAGTTATAACCTGTTCAATTAAAGTAATAAAGTCATAACCTGTTCAATTACAGTAACATGTTTATAACCCATTCAATTACAATAACAACAAGTTATAACCTGTTCAATTACAGCAAGAAAGTTATAACCTGTTCAATTAAAGTAATAAAGTTATAACCTGTTCAATTACAGCAACATGTTTATAACCTGTTCAATTACAGTAACAACAAGTTATAACCTGTTCAATTACAGTAATAAAGTTATAATCTGTTCAATTACAGTAACGAGGTGTAACCTTTTCAGTTACAGTAACAACAAGTTATAACCTGTTCAATTACATTAACAGAGGTCTAACCTTTTCAGTTACAGTAACAACAAGTCATAACCTGTTCAATTACAGTAATAAAGTTATAGCCTGTTACAGGGGTGTAACCTTTTCAGTTACAGTGACAACAAGTTATAACTTGTTCAATTACAGTAATAAAATTCTAGCCTGTTCAATTACAATTACAGAGATGTAACCTTTTTAGTTACAGTAACAAGTTATAACCTGTTCAATTACAGTAATAAAATTATAACCTGTTCAATTACAGTAATAAAGTTATAACCTGTTCAATTACAGTAATAAAGTTATAACCTGTTCAATTACAGTAACATGCTATTACAGTAACAGAGGTTTAACCTGTTCAATTATAGTAACAAGGGTGTGACCTGTTCAATTACAGTAACATGATTACAACCAGTTCAATTACAGTGACATGCTATTACAGTAAGTGGTGTAACCTGTTCAAATACAGTAACAAAGGTGTGACCTGTTCAGTTACAGTAACATGTTTATAACCTGTTCAATTACAAAAAACATGTTTATAACCTGTTCAATTACAGTAACATGATTAAAACCTGCTCAATTACAGTAACATGCTATTACAGTAAGTGGTGTAAGCTGTTCAAATACAGTAACAAAGGTGTGACCTGTTCAGTTACAGTAACATGTTTATAACCTGTTCAACTTACAAGAATGAAAAGATAAACCAACCTTCTGTGTTAAGTAAACACTAGTAGCTCTCTCTGATGCCACTGTATCTAGTTCTGTTTTAGCATCCACAAAATAACTAACATCTGCTATATGTACACCAACTTCATATGTGTCTGTAATATATAAAAGTTAACATTTGTGAATTTGCTTAATCTGCTCATAGACATAACAAAACACAAGACAAAATTATGGAATATAACACACTTCTTTAATAAGGTTAGGCACATATGTGTTATATTCCATAATATTGTCCTGTGTTTTGTTATATGTGCTCCTCGCTTCTATATGTCGTTCAAATCTTGCTCATATTTTTAAATAAAAATTAAGTTCCATTTTTAAAACTAATTGTTCAACTGATGAGGCTTGTTTATCTGAAACACACATCAACAGCATTAGACAAGCTCAAGTCAAATTTGTACTATTTATTTCTGAACCTCATTAATTGCTGTGAATGGTTAAAAAAAGGGATGGAAATGCCTAATTATATAATAACTACAGTCCTCATAACCTACCGTTGCCAAGGTAACGACACGAAACGGCATCATCTAAGTCTCTAGCTGTAGCAGGATCTATAGTAAAAACACACTCTTTACGAAAATCTCTTCTTGTCTTATATTCATTTTCAGGAATCTTCCATGGCACTGTTGGCAGACATTTTATAGCCTGAAACAGATCATAAATATGTTATAGATTTCACTACATCAAAATATAAGGATTATACTGGATTTGGTATTAGATTTATATTCATAAGCATCAACCAGGGGTCGAGGATGCACCAAATCAATTGAATATTGCTAAAAATTTTATGGGAGAATCCTCTCAGACAAGAGGCTGGGGATTATGATGCCCGATACAGTTGCAGCACTTTAAAATTAGCCTTGACATTGTCCCCCCCATTGAGTCAGCCTGTCCCTATTTGTATCTCTGAAACCATATTTTATATAAGTAGGTAAAATTTGTAATAAAAGATAGTGGGCCACAGCCATATACGCCCACCACGGCATGCGGATGGTAAATATTCAAGATTTTGGGGCAAGGGCAATAACTCTGCTTCTCACGGTCGAAAATAGCTCAAATTTGAGCTTAATCTTTGTTTTATGAATATGTATACACATACCGAATTTCATTTGATTACATCAAAAAATCTAGTTTTTAGAGCATTTTACAAGCAAATGTTGACGGACGGACGGACTAATTACAAAAGGTAAGATGGTATGCAAAGGTCTGATAAACAAATTGAATGCATTTGTAAAAACAAGGGCCATAAGTCACACTAAATATTTCAAATTTTGTTTATTTCGATTAAATTGAGGCCCAATGTTTGTAAAATTTCAGGGATTTGAAGGCTCAAATTTTGACAGTGAGCTGTGAACATTATTACTCATTATTACTAAAGTATGATTGGTCAAAAAGAATGGTCAACCTGTCCCTATAAAAAAATCTTTCAGTTACCTCCTCACTAAAATCACTAAAATCAACGTCATTTTCTATTAATAAAGCTTCTGTTTCAGGTTCTATCAGACCAGCTTCTCCAATACTTCTACTAAGATTACTGAAATACATAATATACAACATATATAAACATAGGCTTGTGGCAAGTCTCGCAAGCGAATACGCCCGCCAGCAGCTTGATAAAGAACTAAATGTGAACTGTAAAACAAACTCTATTTCGTAGCCTGTAGAGTGAGCATGAGCCAAAAAAGTGAAAAAAAGCGATATCAGAGTTTTATGTGATATCTCTCAAGAAAATCAGCGGATCATCACCAAATTCAATAGTGCACATCTTCATAATGATATTGACACACATACAAAAGATCAAAAGAATGTATGGAGAATCGTAGCCTGTGGAGTGAGCACAAGGCAAAAAAATAAAGAAAAACGAACGCGAAATCAGAGTTTTATGCGATATCTCTGAAGAAAATCATTGGATCATCACCAAATTCAATAGTGCACATCTTCATAATGATATTGACACACATACAAAAGATCAAAAGAATCAATAGAGAATTGTAGCCTGTAGAGTGATAATGAGGTAAATGTGAACGGATGGACCGACAGAACGACGGACGGACCGACAGGGGCAAACACAATATACGCCCATACTTACGTGTGGGCGAATAAAAATAAACTCAAAGCACATTCGGCAATTTAAACTGAAAAATAATAACTAGCCTACAAAATATCCTGGCCATGTATTCTCGAAATACTCTTAGCGCTAGGATGTCCTAGAGACAATGTTAAAAGATAAGAACCTAGGACATCCTAGCTCTAAGATCGTTTTAAGAATACATGGCCTGGTCAATTGATAGCAGAGCTAAAGCCTACACAAATAAAACCCAACGATGTAAACTTGGTCTAACTGAGAAGTTTTCCATCATTAATGCCCTTTAAACAAACATTCTGAACCTGTCTCAAAGTGTAGACATGAGAATAAGTTCTCCTTGTCTAACTTCAGTTGGGATGCAGGCTGAAAGTAGGTCAGTTGTCTGAAGAGTGCAAGGCGTGAAACTCTGAGAAACGACATGATTCAAGTTCTGTTTTTATTTTTCTAAATTGAAATAACTATTATTAAACTATTAACTAACACCTATCAAGTTAAATAAGCAAATGGTATAAATGCCTCAGTTTTTTTTAAATGTCAACCAAACTTTAGAAGAGTCTTTTTTATGTATGTCATACATCACTTTGCCTCTACATGAATTGCACTACGTCTTTGTATATGAAAATGCTTTATCAAACAGTTGTCTATAATGTGAAATCATGATTCATCATGGAAGATCAATGATCATGGATTTTGTGGGTCAGCCATGATTGTTAAGTAAATGATTGCATGTAATTAAGAGTTTTAACCAATCATAAATGTCCATGTATGTACAGTCTGGATAAATAAAAAAAATACTTTTTGACCTTTCTTGATCAGTCACTCATTAGAATTTTGCTGGTTATTCTCTTCTAATTTAGCTAAATTATGAATTAATTATGGACATGTGAGACAAACTGATATTTTTCCAAGTCATTTTCATATAAGTATTAGCATTTTCATTTTCATAAAAGAAAATAAGGGAACTCATCTTTAAATAAAGACAGATAATGTCAGGCAGTGTACAATGATGGGAATTAGACAACACAGTGATATCAGCCTACTGTGGTATATATAGCAGTGCAAGTGAGAAAACAGAAAAATCACAAAAGCATTGATGGAGATTTGAACCCATAGCACATGATTGTCAACTGACTGAGCTATTTCATTGTGAAAGAAAAATTAACGATCTTTATCCTAAAATAGTACCATATCAATCTTAAAATAGACACATGATGACAGGACCTGTAGATCATGTCTATAATTAGATCAATTAGTCTGCTAATTGATTGATAGAATAGTTAATAAACTTCATTAATGTTTTTTTCCATATTTTCTCTCCATCCAATCTCAATACAAAACAAACTTTTTGAATTATTAATATATACATCTATAACTTTCATAATAAGTATATTTTTATTTCAATTGAAATTACAAGACTTAAGAAATCAGTCACTAAAAGGGAGCTTAGTCAGGTCAATCATCAACTGGATAATCATATCTGCATTCCTGCCTTTTGCAAATTGCTGGATAAAGTCGATATGGTCCCTAAAATTAGACAAGTCGTTATTTTATATTTCAAACCTCGATAATTCTTGACGCAAATGAATTTGAAGACTCCAATTTCGATGGTTAGGTATTAACACTATCATTACTGATTAGCTTAGTTAAAAATTCCTATTTCAGTGGGAGTAGAAGGGGCAGGAAGGGATTGTGACCACCAATTTTACTCCCACTTTATTCATTATAAATATGGTTAAAAATTCACCAATTCAATTCAATTTTTGGAATATTTGTCTCAGGAGATATTCTTGAGATGCTTGCAACAAGAAGCCTTCACATTTTGAATTCAGTCTTGACAGTTGTCCCCTTATTTTGAGAACAGACTGTAGTTCAAGCAGTTAGAGTGTTGGAATATTGACATCATTCCGGGTTTACCCTGTACCCCCACTTTATTTCTAAAATATCTTAAGGTTTCTTTGGGGAGTACTCTCTTACCCTCCAGGGAAAGCTTCAATTCTACCTTGACAGTTGTCTATCAATTCAGTCAGTCTGTCTGTCCCCTATTTGTACCCCCAGTCTAGGGAGGGACGCGCTGCCACTAAAGCAGGACGCATTTTGAGATTCGCTTCTGAAACGTGACATGGGTAGCTAAATTCATCTTCTATAAGGTTTTAAATTGAAACAAAGAAAACAAATTGAAATAGAGCTGATTCAACCAGTGATTGTCCAGAGAATTATGAAACACACACTTATTAGGCATATCAATATGTGTCTAGCCCAAAACACATTTATCATGTATAATAATGAGACTCCATTTTGACAATCTTTCGTAAATGGTAACCAAGGAAACATGACCACATAGAACATGAAAGTTAGTCGGGTGAAAAATGACCCCAAAAAGAAAACACTGTCGTATTGGAAACTGCAAGAGGAGAAACAGATTTTTGAGGAAAAAAGGTAAGGGATATTTATCAATATCTATTTAAGGAGCAATGTGGTTCTCATCATTGAAATGTGAGGATCTGACATCTTGAATAGTTTTTCATTTTTGTCCTTCAAATGAAGGTTACCAGCTCTAGTGAAACACAGTAGAAATATTTAATGGTATTGGATGTGTGGCTATGCATCTACTGAATTTTCTGGCAAGTATTTGCCTGGCAAGATATGCCCAGTTTCCTGATATATTTTCAGTATATCAAGGGCAGTCACCTATCTGTGTCAAATGATACCAAAAATCTAATTTGTGCAAGATATTGTTGATTTAAACAAACACACATTATTTAATAAAATTCTGTCATAAACTGTCACCTCTATTGTCAACAAATTTTGATGAGTTTTTACTTCATATTAATCGGATGAAAACTGTACCCTCTATTGTGTTCACAAACAAATTGTGACGCATGTTTCATAAATCAAGGGCAATAACTCAAAAACGCTCATCAAAGGTCGTCAAATTCGAAATTGTTTGAGATCTCATCATTATAATTGATCACACCAAATTTCATTTAAATCGGATGAGAATTGTGGTCTCTATTGTGTCCACAACCAAATTTTTACGCGTTTTTCAGAAGTCAAGGGCAATAGCTCAAAAACTGTTCGTCAAAAGATCGTCAAATTCGAATTTGTCCAAAATTGCATTAATACAAATGATCACACCAAATTTCATTTATATCAGATAAAAACTGTTGTCTCTATTGCGTTCAGAAGTCAATTGTGTACGGACGGACATAGGTGATGATAATATACGACAACATTATAATGTGGGTGTAAAATAAAACGTGAGAATGATTTGTCTAAGATTATAATACACAAATACTAATAAACTTCCTTTCATTATGTCATGTCTATATAAAGTCTAAATTAATGGGACAGGTGTGCCATTTGTTGGGATTGATTTTAGTCTAGACAAAATTGGTAAATACTCTTTAGAAGTACTAGAAATGTACGAAAATCATATAATTCCTTTAAAAATACTTCAAACTAGGAATTTTACTCACTATTTCTATATATGTCTTTTCTATATATCACAGAGTATCTTAAATTGACGAGTTGTCATTTTAAAATTCAAACTCAGATAATTCTGGACAAACATGGATTTAAAGGCTCATATTTTGACGGTAAGCTGTGAACACTATAACTGATTGGCTCAGCTAAAAAAACTTGAGTTTCTGAGACTTAAGTGTGAGCGTCACAAACACTTTCATGATTAACCTGAATGTAAAATGACAAAATCTGAAATAGAATGAAGAAATGGCTGTAGAAAATAATGAATGAACTTATTCTGTCTTGCAGGAGTAGTAATAGAACATATAGATAGGAAGCACTTTGGTATAATTTATGTTCTATTTGCAGGAACTTAACCAAGCACCATTGTGAAGTTAAGAGAAAATGTAATATATATGGGGATGTGAAAATGAAGCTAATTTGGTTGATATATCAAATAACAACAACAGTAAGTTTATTCTCCATGTATCACACTAATCACATTTTTTTCTCTACAACTGAGATGGTAAATTCTACTTTTAATGATAACTTGCCAGGCAAGGTAATATACATCCACGAGCTAAAAATTGAACACGTCAAGAACAAGGGCAATAACTTGTATCAAATTTTTCCATATTATTTGAGGGATTTTCAATAAGGTTAAAGGTTTATTCCTGGGTAATAACAAACAATTTCACTAAGTTTTGTCAAAATCTGTCATGACTTATGGATGAACAGAAGAAAAATTCTGAGTTTCCGAGACTAAGGTACGCTTGGTCAAACAGCTGATGAACCTGTCCCTTTTAAGTGAATTACTATACTAATTCAAAATCCAGTATGTTTAGTAGTCCTTTTCCTTTTTTCCAGAAATTCTACAGCCATCAAGACAATACAAGTTTGGATCGTCTGAAGTGTGACAGCAGTTCTGAAAAACTCTTATATATAGCTTTGTTTAAAATAGTTGTGAATTTAACCATCATAATAGTTTTTGTTTTTAAACATAAAAGTCAGCCAATAAAACAGAATTAGTTATAAAGAGAAAGTCATCAAAATACAGAGTTTATTCCAGTCAAATACAGAGGAATTCATCCAGTCAAATACAGAGGAATTCATCCAGTCAAATACAGAGGAATTCATCCAGCCAAATACAGAGGAATTCATCCAGTCAAATACAGAGGAATTCATCCAGTCAAATACAGAGGAATTCATCCAGACAAATACAGAGGAATTCATCCAGACAAATACAGAGCAAGAAAGTCAATAAGTCAAAAAAAGAAAAAGAAAGTCATCAAGCAAAGTTTGGTTATTTAACAGAAAGTCATCCAGATCAAGTGATATCTTTAATCAAAGAGTGATTATCAAAGTAGCTGAAAAGTAACCAAATCAAGTTTAAAAGTCATTACAACTAAGCTACTAAGTAAAGTAATCAAGTTATCGTTTTCAGCGATCAAGTAAAGTTATCAAGTTATAGATTCAGCCATCAAGTAAAGTTATCAAGTTATAGATTCAGCAATCAAGTAAAGATATCAAGTTATAGATTCAGCCATCAAGTAAAGTTATCAAGTTTTTGATTTCAGCAATCAAGTAAGGTTAACAAGTAAAGTTATCAAGTTGTGTTCAACCTCAAATAATGTGAAAAAAAGCAAGTTATCAAGTGACGTGAAACAAGAAAGGCAACTGGTATCTTAAATCATATCCTACTTAGTAAATCTACCCTGTTATATCTATGTACCATCCACAGTTTACTATGGGCGTCCATAAATTAATAACAGTTCGTGAACTGGGTCAAATATGGCCACAATATTCAGGAATCATGGACGAAGTGGAAGCGGAGAATCTGCCATTAACCATCTTTCTTGGTATTGTTTGTATATTTGGTATCCTTGGTAACAGCTGTGTTATCATTATTTATGTTAATCTCAAAAGGAAAACTCCCTCAATCTACTTCATCCTTACTTTGGCCATTTCAGATTTTTTAGTATGTGTTTTAGTCATGCCGACACTAATAATGGTACGGTATATAGTGGTACCGTTGGAGTATTCTCATTTATGCAAAATCACTTTATGGTATTCTTATGCATTGGTAGGTTTATCATGTCTGTTTCTACTTATCATAGCCATTGACCGTTATTTGGCTGTCTGCAAAACTCATAAATTAAGATTGAACAACAAATGGGCCTTTATCATGTCATTGTCGGCTGTAACCATGGCCTTCATAATAGCCTTATTACCAGCCTTAAATTCTTCTGTATTTATCAATATGAAAATTAACAATCAAACGTACACCGTGTTTCCAGAACGATGTCACATTACGGGCCTAGTCTCTAACCCCTTACGCGAATTTGACGAACGTTCTCAAACACATATGATTCTCTTTATACTATACTTTATAATGATTGTCTCTATAGCTATCTTGTATATCGTGGTGTTTTCTACCTTGAGAAAGCGTGAAGCTAACTGGAGAATGTGGAATAATTCCATCCATCCTGTAGTTCCCAACCCCTTAGATCCTGACACACCTGTCATCACCATCGCTGGTGGTGTCACCGGACCCTTGACCACGCCCACCACAGTTCAAGCTGCACCTCAAACATCCAATTTCTTTGATTTGTCTTCTTCCAACAAACTGTCCACCATTATTTCACGTAGGTTGTTTCTGGTCACTTTGATTTACATTCTGACCTGGATGCCATTTTATTTGATTGAGTTTAATCTGTTGTTTTACCAGGAGATATTACATAAAATATTTCTAATTAGTAACATGATAAACCCTATCATCTATCCAGCTACCAGTAAGGTATTCCGCTCCCAATTCAAGAAAATATGTTGCAATAAATGTTTGAAAAATAAGGGCCATAAGTGAAAGATAAGCTAGAAGGAAAGGGATTCCTTTACAAAATTTACTTATAACTCTTTACTCTGAAATGGCAGTTTGGAAATAAAAAAATTTTGTAAGCATTATGATTATAATGTTAATTTTGTATAAATATGTATACATAATTCATGATTAATATGTTAATTTTGTATATATATGTATACATTAATTATGATCAACATGTTGATTATGTATATATATGTATACATTAATTATGATTAATATGATAATTTTGTATAAATATGTATACATAATTTATGATTAATATGTTAATTTTGTATATATATATGTATACATAATTTATAATTATCATGTTAATTTTGTATATATATATGTACACATTAATTATGATTAATATGTTAATTATGTATATATATGTATACATTAATTATGATTAATATGTTAATTTTGTATAAATATGTATACATAATTTATAATTATCATGTTAATTTTGTATATATATATATATACTTAAATTCTGATTAATATGTTAATTTTGTATATATATGTATACATTAATTATGATTAATATGTTGATTATGTATATATATGTATACATTAATTTATGATTAATATGTTAATTTTGTATATATATGTATACATTAATTTCTGATTAATATGTTAATTTTGTATATATATGTATACATTAATTATGATTAATATGTTGATTATGTATATATATGTATACATTAATTTATGATTAATATGTTAATTTTGTATATATATGTATACATTAATTATGATTAATATGTTGATTATGTATATATAATTATAAATAACTTTTGACTTTTATGTTGATTTTGTATATATATTTTATGTATACATTATATTTGTTATGTATTATGTATTTATTGTTTATATTCATAAAATATCTAACTTGATAGAACCTTGGTATAAATCTTTTTAGATTACAATGGAGACGAAACGAAATTATAATCTCATCGAATCATGATATGGAAAAAGTAAAAGATAGTTGACCACAGCCATATATACGCCCACCACGGCATGCGGATGGTAAATATTCAAGATTTTGGGGCAAGGGCAATAACTCTGCTTCCAACGGTCCAAATAGCTCAAATTCGAACTTGATCTCTGTTTTATGAATATGTATACACATACCGATTTTGATTTGATTCCATCAAAAAATCTAGTTTTTAGAGCATTTACAAGCAAATGTTGACGGACAGGGGTGCCGACAATATACGTCCACATAGAGAGATGTGGGCGTATAAAAATAAATGATTCCAAAAAATCGAGAGCTGTATGTAATTGGCTTCAAATTGTTTTGGGTCTGTTGTCAACAGATAAGGGTATCGAACAGAATACTTACCCATGAGGCATTTTAGAATGTGCTGGCCAATCTACTATTCTAGCTATAAACATATTGGTAGCATAATCATTTGGTCTCTCGTAGAAATCTATAATCATAATAAAATGATGAATAACATCTCACCTCAACAACAATCATCATTAATTTATTGCTTATTAACCTTCAAATTTGCCAAACGTTAGAAAGAAAGGTTAACAAACAACCAGTCTAATTAAAGTTTGACCAAGCTTTCGTTCCGTTTTTTTTATTAGATTTTACTTTTAATGTAGCCACTTCAGTTAGGGTCTATCGAAAGTCCTCTCTAAAGTTCGTCAAATTAACCTTTTGACCTAGCTCAATGGAGTCTGCTTTAACCAATCAAATTTCAGTCGGTTACAGCATAGGTTCTTAACATGACGCCAGTTGCTTATTTTGAGCAAATCGTGGCTTTGGGTTCCCAGTCCAATGACCTTGAATAAGTCATCTTCACTCATAATTCCAGTCGACCCAGCTGTAAATGGAAAGGGATAATCCGGAAATGATCAATGCCAAGAGGTTTGACCAAGGACCAGCTGGTATAAAGGATCCTTAACTGTGAACCTAAGTTGTTATACTTGTAAAATATAGTTGTTTCTTTCTTTAGACTGAAATTGCCACTAATGGTTTGGAAGTGAATCCAGTAATTTACACTATAAGTTTTTGTATTAAATTACAGAAAGCTTAAATCGGGCTCTATTTAACCTTCTTCATAAAAAAAAAAGAAAGAAAGCAACCATTACAACTAAAGTCTTTTCTACCAGCTGGTCCTTTGCCAAACCTTTTCATTAATCTTTTAGGAACAATATATAGAAAAGAGGACATTTTCAAGATCACCAGACTTTCCACATGCTGACAGAAACTAGAACCCATGATCACCATTTGTTTGACATGTAAAGTTTTCAATGAGCTAACCGACCGTTCTTCAGAACAATATGTTATTTTCTTACCTTTAGGGCATTCTGACATTGGTATTATAAGTCTAGGTACCCTGCTATCAAACGGTGCAAACAGAGCTTTTTGTGGATTCTTGTCTTCCATCAGTTTAATATAACCACTGGCAGCCCTCGAGTGTTTCCTTTCTAAAATACCAACAACCTAAAAATATATTTAGAAATTTAGCTGACTAACTACAATATCATTTGTTGTTCATTCAGACATTTTTAAAGTGCTATGTCAGTCATGCCTGGCAAAAATAGAGCCCTATTTTTCTGTACCTGTACTACTAATTAATATAGGTAACAACCTGCAGTGTGCAATGCGTGACATTACACATTATGTTACACAAGATGCACAATGATTTAAAAAAAAAATAGTGACTGACAAAATAAGATAAGTAAAACATAAGAGTGATTTATTGCTAATAGTCACTGAAACAACATAAGAACATGGCCCACATTGTGTTTCATAGAATTTTTCTGCTGACACGGAACCCGCTAGCTTATCACGTGACTTCGTTCATTGGACTACATTCTAGCAGACGACACTTGGAATTCCGATTACAGCTTGGAATTATAAGGAATTTCTGCCGATAAAACATTGTGATATTTGGTAATAACCGAAATCTGCCATTTTGTATTTGTATGTATTAATACATTTTACCTTGCTTGAAACTACTGGATTCATTCTACTAGCTGACATTGTACAAATAACCCATGTTTATCAAAACAAGCAAATTAATCATTTACGGAGATGCACGAAAAATAGGTTAGTATGAAATTAGATTACTTGACTGTGTATACAACTTACCTTTCCGACTTTTTGAGCAATGGAGTCAACTCTTTCATTCTTGGTCTTATCCTTAAATAGTCCTTTGGCTGCAGGGCTTCCCGATGTAACGACATCCTTGACTGAAGTGTAGCTTTTTCCACCATAAAATTTGTCACGGACTAGTCTATTGTTATTACTATTGTTGGTATTTTTCACCACAATTTCTTCCCCTTCTACAATGACGTCTGGTCCACTGTCTTCACCACTATCACTAGAGTTACCGCCCTTGGCTGCAGCTTCAGATCCTGAACTCACACTTGATTCATAGCTTTCTAATTGTTGTTCTAAGATCTGTGTTGCGAAAAAAAAAGATAGCTTGCCAGGCAAGGTAACATACGCAGCTGTCAGAAATGATTAAACAGTCTTTAGTGACTACAGGGTTGCACAATATAGCCAATAGAGTGAAACGTCAAGTCAGACACGATATTTCGGTGAAAATCGATAGGGATCATCTTCATAATGACATTGACATACAAAATAAAAATCAAAAGAATCTGTAAAGAATTGTAGCCTGTAGAGTGAGCACGAGTTGCACAATATAGCTAATAGAGAAAAACGTCAAGTCAGACACGATATTTCGGTGAAAAATTATCCGATCATCACGAAAATCGATATGGATCATCTTCATAATGACATTGACACACAAAATAAAAATCAAAAGAATCCATAAAGAACTGTAGTCTGTAGAGTGAGCACGAGCCAAATGTGAACGGACGAACCGACGGGGTGATTACAATATACGCCCATCTTACGTGTGGGCGTATAAAAATGTGAATCTATCCTGATAAAACTGGGTAACTTCATGAGATGTGCAATAAGGAGAATTTCACTCTTACAGTGGCAATACTCTACCAAAACTTTTTATAAGACAGTGGGCGCTAACAACTTCTATCAACTATATTACCAAATATCACAGTTATAAAGTTAAGAATTAATAAATATTGAAACTTTGAAGATAAAATGTTAATTCTTAACCCGTTACCCCATATCATGATACATGTATGTAACGTATCGTGACTCTTGTATCGCAATACGTATCCTATCGTGACCCTTGCATCGCAATATGTATCGTATCATGACCCTTATATTGCGATATGTATCATATCATGACCCTTATATTGCGATATGTATCGTATCATGACCCTTATATTGCGATATGTATCGTATCATGACCCTTATATTGCGATATGTATTGAATCATGACCCCTGTATCGCGATATGTATCTTATCATGACCCTTGTATTGCGATATGTATCGTATCATGACTCTTGTATCGCAATATCTATCGTATCATGACCCCTGTATCGCGATATATATCGTATCATGACCCTTGTATCGCGATATGTATCGTATCATGACCCTAATATCGGGATATGTGGCGTATCATGACCCTTGTATCGCAAAATGTATTGTATCATGACCCTTGTATCACAATACGTATCGTATCGTGACATGATAGACGATGCCCAACACTATAACTTACCCTCCAGTTATCTCTATCTAATATCTGTACAGCCACAATATCACCATTTAAAGCTCTGTTTCGGTTCAATAGACCACAAATATAAATATCATTTTTACCATTCTAAAATATAGACATCTTTATTCAGATAGTAGATAATATTCCTCTACATTTCTGATTGAACTAAACAGTGTCACATTTTAAATATCAATATCAAAACATATAGTTTCCTACATTACATTTCAATAAATTGTAAGCAAACTAGATGCAGTATTTCTTATCTAAAAAGAGTAACATTTGCATTTGAAATTACAAATTGTTTTTTTGATGTTTTTGCCCCAACATATGGGTCAGAATGCATTTTTTCCAAAATTTGCTTGGGAGAATTCCTGTCGACGCTTCATTAAAGGCTTGCAACTATGAAGCATCAAGTGTTGCAGCATTTCTGCCCTCTATTTGTACGCCTAGTTTCAGGAGGGCTGGCGCCGCCACTGTTCAGTAAAACCATTAAGATAGTTACTACTTACAGGAACTGCTACATAGGCATCTGTAAAATTCTTTGGATTTATTCTAATTTTACCCTAAAATACAATAATAAAACAATCTAAAATCTAAAAAGATATCGGAAAACATAATATAAGTTTTGTTAAAGTTAGACCAACAAAAAAAACCCAACAGTTCTGGCTTTGTAAAGAGCTACATCATTTTGTTTTATTGAACAAATTTTCACAACTCTTAAGCGACAAATAGAAATTTGATGCAATCCGTAGACATAAGTTATAAGCTTATTTTACAAAGATAACTTAAGTTCTGAAAGATCCTTTCTACCAGCTGGTCTTGTGTATTTTTTTTTTGAAATAACTGTACCTTTTCACAGCTGGGTCAACTTTATTTTCTATTTGTGGCTATTTTTATTATATCTTAAAGAGATTTTAAATTTTTTAATATGTGTATCAGGGACACTGATAGCATTAATTTGCACCATTCCAATTTTCAATCAGACATCTGTGGTTCTTGCAATTCTACTTAAACTAAGTGTTTGATGACGTCACTAATTGCAAAATATGCTTTAACACATAAGGATCTTTGTGATTAGCATTAACACTTACTTTAAGTGGAATTGCAAGAACCACAGATGTCTGATTGAAAATTGGAATGGTGCAAATTGATGCTATCATTGTCCTTAATACACATGTCATACCTCTTTACAATCCCTGAACCATGTACATCATACCTATAAATTCATTTATGACTATATCTTAAAATGCAAAAATAAAAACGACCATACCTCTATGAGTTCGTGTCTTTTAAACCCAGCTGATAACTCTTCTCTACTCCAGTACTCTTCAAATTTAAAGCCCTAAAATATACATGAAACACAGTTAGAAATAAATTTACAGATTAGGAATTTTCTTTTACATTGTAATTATATGTGTGGAAAGTGTCGCATGATGTGGAACTCTGAGTAACAACATGATGCAAGTTCTGTTTTAAAATTTCTATATGAAAAGTGTTAGAGCTCAATTTCAGTTATCTAGATCACTTTCCAGAATGGAAATCTGACACCTGGTGTAGGGCTGGGTATCGATTCTAAATTAAGATCAATTATCAATGGCATACTATCGATCAATAATAATCGAAATAATTCAATTGAGAACCATTTAAATACTAAATTAAAAACCATGCCAAAATTCTTAATTCCAATTTTTGTGTCATAGAAGTATATTCTTGCTTGAATCATTTATTGTTGTTTATTGTGGGTATGTTATGTGCTGAAGATATTACTACTTGTTAATGGATACAGGGAAGAAAATGTAACTTTGACATATAATCAATTATGAAATATGATAATCGATAATCAAAATTATAAATTCTTAGAGACAATTATTTAGATCATTTCACCAAGACCTAACCTGGTTACATAATTGAATGAAGTCTTAATTTCTAGGTTTTTATATTCTCACAGACAGAGTAACTCATTTGGTAGTTAGAACTGCTTGACATGATGGTAATAACAGTTTGAGTGGAATTGCAGGGACCACAAACGTCTGATTGAAAATAAGATTGGCACAAAATGATACTATCAGTGTCCCAAATACATAAAAAAGTTCAGAAAACCTCTTTACAATCACTTTAAGATATCTTATAAAGATAACATTGAAATTTAGAAAACCTTTTTACAATCCCTTAAACAGTGGCTTTGTTACAGATTCCATTGCATGTGCTAAAATATACAGCTAAAACAAATAAAACCTACTTGTTTTCTTTGGGATTCTTTCTTTACTTGTGCAGTCTTTGATCTGTTATCAGCCTTGTCTGAAAAGTTTCTTTGCTGTCTATTTCCTGCACTATAGACATTATTTCTGTTCTGTTTCGGCTGTGGATGGCCGGCACCACTCTGACCTGATGCCTGATTATCATTCCAGGAATATTGAAGAGCATCTCCTTGTCCCATACTTCTCTGTAATCTTGAGTAACTGCCTCTTTTAGGTCGCTTGGAAGATTCAAGGCCTAAACTTCCTGAAATCAAATGATTCAAATTGATATTTCTCTAATGAAAACCCAACTTGATTTACCAAATGTTGATCTCAATGCATTCAAAACCGGCCATTTTATCATGATTAAGGATATTTAGAGCTCTGATTTGCACAAATATCATACAACTCTTCCATTCTGCTAAAACTATGCAATGAGTAGAGATTTAAGCTTACATAAAGAAATGTTAACTCTGGAATTGCAGGAACCACAGACATTGGACAAAGAATTGGAATGTTCCAAATTGAAGTTAAAGAAGTCTCCGATACACATACAAAGGCTAGAAAATCTCTTTACAATCCCTTTAAATATACTATCATTGGTAGATAACGGAGTGCAATAAAGACCATAAATAATGAAAACAAACTGTTGCAATCTTTTACTGTCATATTTCTAGTATGTCAAATGTAAATTGGTTGACATTGTGCACCCCCTTAATAATTTCACTAGGAGCTCACTGAATCATATGATTTTTTCATTATATTATCATATATGTGATTAATGCACACAAGCAGTCAACCACCAATAAAATGATATCACCAGATCAATGAGGAATTAAAGCACCTCAGACAAAACATGACTTGGACCAAAACCAAAGACTACTTTGACCAATGACAAATTGGACTAATTCTAAAACACAATCTCTGATTTGGACCAACTCTCATTAGGGAGGAAATAGAAAATATCACCTTTGGTTAAAGTTTTTTCCTGTTCTACAGAGAAATATGTTCATCCCAATTTATAAGAGGTTTTATTTCTCTTTAAAAACTAGCTCTTTTAAAAGGGGTCTGAGTTATCTGTGGTTCACATTGTCTTGTACTTTTTCCAGTTAGTTCTGTATGAACTGCACTTACCCATGCCTGATTCTAATGAGGTCATTTGTGTACCATCTCCGCCTCGGTTTTGCTCCATTCTATTTTTGTTTTTAGAGTGATCAGATCTCTTTTTCTGTGGTTTTTCTTTTAAAGAAGGTGAGGTCCTGTCTCCCTCCATTTTGACATCTAAAACACGATAATCTTCTCAAAGTAAAAACATTATTAAGCTTATACAAGACTTTTTGTCGTCTGAATCTTACAGTTTTGAAGCTGATATTCCCATTATCCCTTAGAAAATCAGGATAAAATGATTTACTAACAATTGCAATGTCATCTGTATTGGTCAGTAGGCCGAGCTATAATTATGCTGACACAAAAAAGATTAAAATATTAACAAGATATTCATCCAACTTTTATGACAATATATTCCTAAAGCCCAGGAGACATTCTAATTCAAATAATTTTTGGTGAATAAATATTTACTTAAAATCTAAAAATCTAACAAAGTAACCCTTGGCTTAGCTTGGGGTGCTATGCAATAGGGGCATATGACATCATGACTTAAGCAATTGATTTAACATAGTATAGCACTGGGGTGTCAGATTAGTATGTAAATTGCTATGTGTCATCATAATGAATCACTCTGTCGCACTGTCAATTTTCAGGTTGGTTTGGTAAAGTGAAAATTATCTTCTATAAAATCATTTTTCCATATAATAATTTTCCATTGCTTAACATTTTCATCAACCTGAAGATATCTTAAGACTCTCAATATTATATTTCAACCTATAGGCAAATAATTGGTGAAATGCGTTATGCGAATACGTCTGCACTGTAGAAGAAGTCGGTGTGTAAACAATGATTATTGACAAACAGAAAGTAGAAGTAGGCCTTGTCGTGCACTGACACTCTGCCTCTTGAAACAAAAAAACAAAAACATCTCACCTCCTTCAAGATTTCCTCTTATTTGATACAGGTGTCTACAATTTCCTGACCAATATCTAGACCAAATTATTTCATAACAACTTCTATTTTTGTGAAATGCAATAAACTTTCGAAGAAACATTGGACCAGAATTCACATGTGGTTGAACTTGCTTTATCGACACGTTTCGATTTTGAGTAACGAAAGATAATCTAAAAATCCTAATTTGAAATTTGTATTTACAAATATATTTATATTTTGAAATCGATAAAATAATGCAAACCAGTGCATTATGTCATTTAACGCTTCTTGTTGCAACATATGAACACATCACGGAACAATTATGAAGCACCTATTCTGATAAACAAGTAAATAAAGGGCCATTTTTATCTTTAAAGAAAAGATTAAATCAGGGGAGGTAATTTCAATTATGTAACCAGACAAACTCAGACCATTGATAAATAAGAATAATAACAAAAACGAAAATTGATGAATCAGACAATTTTTCATTGTAGGTTATACGCTACGATATTTAATAGTAACTCCCGACTTGTGTTTCGGATATGGACAGGGTGTTTGTAAAAGGAAAGGGTTATTATAATAATCATATAGTCCGAGTCTTAGAAAGTCTTCACAATTTGTTTATTGTAAGGTTTTTAACTTTTCTGCAGCTTCAAATTTTCAAATTACACACGGGACACATAGTCACAAACAGGTTCTAGGTCCTGATGTAAAGAATGGCGAACAACCGCTGTAAGCGGAAACGTTAGCTGGGGGTAATAGCTGGAATTGTGGAAGGTTGATGACAGAATGTAAGTGTCGTCCACATCTAGAATATACAGAACTATATATAGATTCCTGTTTAATAGGTGAAGCTGTTGCTCCCGGTTTTGATTTTCATGATTTTAGCTGGTTAACTCCAGAACAATTGAAGACTGCCGAACCAGAAGAACAAACTGTTTTAAAACATATTCTACATCGTGATATTAACAAAGTGGGAGATCAAAAATATACTTTATCAGACGCCACGTCATTCTATGACTATTATGGTTGTACAAATATCAACCATTTCATAGAATCCCGCTAAAAAAATAGTTCATAAAGGTCCAATTGATTTCATTTATATTGCATATAGTGGCTATCTATAGTCCCCTAAGCCGACAAGCTAATCATACGATTGACCACAAACCACAAATGAACAGCGCCGAGATAACTGAATTTATTTCATATGGAAACAACTTGTAATAATATGTATTGAGGAAATAAAGGTGGAGGGTTTGTTATCACGCCAACAAGCAATCACTTTAGTTTTGCATTATATTACTCAAGAACCAAATAAGTTGCAGAAAGTAAAACATAATACATTTTTACATAAGCTGTGTAGATATTTATTTGAAAATTAGACATACACATTATAAAAAATACAAAATATGAATTCCGAGAAATTTGTCCCAAAATGTTGTCGTTATTTCTTTTAGAATCTTCTAAATATATACATGAACATGTATCATATATGTTGACAATGAAACCAGATACTTAAATTATGTATACAGAGAACAATTACATGCAAATGTACATTCTTATACATTGACTCATATCTTATAAAAATATAATGTAAGGGATATCAGTGTAGTATTTGGATATGGATTCTAGAGCTGAACCATGAGACAGTCATGTCTACAAAACGTTGTTTTGCTTAATGTGGCCCCCACATCAAAGTGACCACCAGGACACGAAACTACGTTACAAACCATGCGTAGTTTTGTATGCCAGCCAAACTTTCCACCCTTTCGTTCGGTTTTTTGTTAGCTTTTATTTTTAATGTAGCCTCTCCAGTTAGGGTCTAAGGACTGGCCTCTTAAACATTCGTCAAAAATCCTTGACCCTTGCTGTATTTGACCTAACCGAGATTTAACCAATCAAATTCCAGCCATCTCTAGCGCTAACATTGTGTGAGAGATTTGATTGGTTAAAGCAGATGCCATTAGATTAGGTCAATTTATGCCTATAGTCAATTTATTTCTTTAAGCTTCTATGTAATGCTTATATTATTGTTGCAATAAGAAAAATAGAAACAATTTTAAAATGGAATTATTTAGAATATAAACATCATTAATGAAATGGTTATCAATAGTACAACAGATTGGTACATAGTTGGTGCTGAGCCAAAAACTTCGCTTTCAAATCCAGTCTCTCCTCCACAGGCTTCTGGATTCTGAATTTTACTCAATTCCAAAAGCGTTTTCTTAGTTTCTGGGCATTCATTGAATTTCTTTGAATCCTCAATGCAGTTCTTAGTGTTCTTTTGGGACCTGAAATAGAATTGAGATACACGTAAACTGGAACTGGAACTTGGTGTTCCTAATGAATTATCATGCATTCTTTATCATATCATTATGTTCTTATTGCATAATAATTAAGAGTTTTAACCAATCATAAATGTCCATGTATGTACAGTCTGGATGAACAAAAAAGACTTTTCGACCTATCTTGATAGGATAGATAGATAGGAATTCTGTTGGTAATTCTCTTCTAATTTAGCTAATTATGAATTAATTATGGACATGTGAGACAACATCGTATTTTTCCAAGTCTTTAAAACACCTCTACTTGCTATTCATATAAGTATTAGCATTTTCATATTTATAAATGAAAATAAGGGAACCCATCTTTAACCTTTGACAGCAATAACTCGCCCATACCGGTATCGGAAAAAAGATACAGCATTTCCAATCATCATGGTCTAGGGAGCTTACTTCGTGAAATAAGGATTTGGATAAGATTTGCTCTGGTCCGTTTTTTGTATTCAGTTTGCGTTTGAGTCTGCGTTTAAGTTTGCGTACACATGTTATCGCAGCTTAACGGCGTTTTGTGGAGCGACAGTAACCATATGGATTTGAAATTTGAACATAATTCTTGTAAAATTAACAACACAGTTATGATTTTACGTCCATAGATTTCGGATACTTCGTGTACTTACCCGCATACGTAAGACTTAAATTCATCGTAGGTAGGATTTGAAGATAGGTCATTTAATCCTTGAGTAAAACAAGAAGCTGATTCTGCAATTGCCTTAACTAGACAAGTAACATTATAGGCTGAAATTGAGTAGCACAATTAGTTATAAATCACAATAAAAATAAATATATTTTCAGAAAACGGTATCAAACAGTGTAAGTAGCATACATTCAAGTATTATCTGTACATAGTATTCCAACCCACCGTTAGAGGGAAGCATTGACGCTTACACAGTTGCTAACCCCTTCAAGGAGATTGCACGGGCAAGGATAGGTATTAGGGGGTGAAAGCCGACAACGGGCCGACTTTCGGAAGCACAGACACAGGCATCAGAATTTTTCTTACCTTAATGTTCAGTATTAGGGGGTTTGTTATATTTGTAAATTACTTACAGTTGAATCGGTCACATAGATAATTCACAGTTTTCTCGTTCATTTCATTTGTAGGAAATAAAGTCTTAAAACTATCATCATAGCATTTCAGGACTGTATTGTATATACATGCCGTCAGAGAAATTAGCTGTGTCTTTTTGCTGGAATATAATGTACAAAAGTGAATTAGAATGAAATGAAATGTAGTTTAACTTCCGTTTATATTATTTTATTCATTGCCAATTTCATCCACAGTCATTCCTCTTCACGCGACCATCTTTTTAAAGCAATCACCTTCAATTTGCGACCACAGTAAATTCACGACTTTTCAATGTACTTAAAAACTCATCATGTGGGGTTGTCACTTTGTTTCAATATTGACAATATGCTAATCCTCAATAGAATAACTAAATTGCTAATTAATTATACATCAGTCTAACCATCACAACAAAATAGTTCTGGTGTTTATTCCACCTCCATTAAGAGACCGTTTTGTATAGATGACTCTTTCACATAGGGCCAGGGTTGATATCCCGTCCGAATATCTAAATGCTTTATGCGGGTGAAATTTCTCCAGGTATTACCCTGCCGATATCGAACAAAAGGTTTTACTTCATATAAAATTAAAAGGTGCTATACGTCCCGCTTTTCTCAGATGCAATTGTGCTTTAAAAGGGTAATTTTTGAAGTACAAAACACAATATTCAGTACCAAATGAAGAGCTTATTCTGAGATTGATTCACTTTACTTACCTGCAAAATGCCTCAGTCGGATTGGTAAAAAATGATACCAAGGTTGATGGCTCCAAAGAACTAAAATCAGCGCTGTTGCTGATACAGGTTTCAATCTCCTTGAGTATATCTTTTGAACATCCAGAGAATAACTGTCCATTTACACCATACACTCCTGTAAGAAACAGTACATAAATAATTGCAAAAACATTTGGTGGTGTTGATCTTCGGATTACCCAAAATTCAAACTCATTGGGCTGTTCATAAAACTTTCACTATTTTGTAAATTTCATTGATGTATAATAAAAATAATAGTGGACTAAGAACACAACCCTGTGGGACACCAGATGAGACCGTCTTAGATTTATGACACATTTTTGTTTGCTTCAAGGTAATCTTGAAACCATTCCTTGAGATCTTCTCTGACCCCGACGCCCGCCACCATGCTTATGATAGAGTCCATCATGCCAGACCCCGTCGAAAGCCTTTCTGATGTCACAGAAGTGTAAATATTTATTTGTTGAAAGAATATTGAAATAGTCGGCAGCCAACTATACTCACAAAAAACCAAACCTGAACTGAAATCAAAATCTGAATATGAAGCTTTTATTACACGGATGGTACACCTCGAGGTCAATGACTGATGCTGAAGAAATAATTTATTAATATATTTATGGTAAGGATTTACCCGGATCGGAGGTTTACCCAACTCAGAGGTAGCATGAATGTATATTTTGTAAGCGTAGCTCCAGAATGGTTTATTCTAACTAGATTCTTACGGACCATGATCTGATTCAACTAATTCTTCCTCACCATAAATATATTGGTAAATTATTTCTTCAGCATCAGTCTTTGACCTCGAGGTGTTCCATTCGTGTAATAAAAGCTTCATATTCAGATTTTGATTTCAGTTCAGGTTAGGTTTTTTGTGAGTATAGTCGGCTGTTGGGCCAATAAAAAACAAGGTCTTAATATCAGTCTCAACTTTCTGATATATCTTTAAATTATTATGATATATGGAATACTTCTTGAGCTTATTTAATCCCAATTGATATTTTTGTAAGTACAAATGTATATCTACATTTATGTATTGACAGTTATTAGTAGTTGAGTGAATGCCAGTATCCATATTAAGCATCTAAAGTGGAAAAAAGTTCACAGTCAGTGTAATTAAAACTTGATCAAACTTTCATTCCGTGTTTGTTGTTGTCTTTATTTATGATATATAATATTAATATAGTCACTCCAGTAAGGGTCTAACGACAGCCCTTTTGGACGTTCGTCAACTAAACCTTTCGACCTAACTCGATTACGCCTGCATTTACCCATCAAATGCCTACTCTCTCCATTGCTTGCATTTGTGACGCGGTGTTTATCAAGTTTGGTCGAACTCGAAAGGTTAATATGACGAACGTTCAAAAGGGCCCTCGCTTAACTGACGTGGCTATATTAAATTTCTTAAAGTTTTACCTTTGAACCAGATTATCTTGTAAACCTATCCATAGCAACTAGCAATATCAACAGTGATTGATACTCTACTTGATAAATTCCATTCCTTTTCCAAAAAACATAGCTGCGGAATTTAACGGAGGCAAAAGAGCCTTGACGATGATCAGGAAGGAAGGCTTTCAACAACAGCCAATGGGAAACATTACCTCAGAGCTTGATATGTTGATTTGTGGGCCTCTATCGTAAGAGGGTTGGACAAGACAAACGTTTTCTGCAATATGGTGCAAAATCACTTGACTGCAAATTAAAAAAGTTTCTGTATGGTGTCATTATTTTTCCGTTTAGTAACTGGTTTAGCAAGTTTTGTGCATGTCGATTAATAATTTAAAACAGGACAAAAGGCTCGTATGCGCCTAAAGCTTATAGTTATTAACCCACAACTCGTATGACATTTTCATCACTGAATATAGTAGCCTATTGTAAACTCTGTTTCTTATAACTATTGTGCTAGTACATAAGATTAAAATATAATATATATTTTATAATGCTCACATGGTCTCTAAGTGACTTTTTGATTAGGCCTACTATCTGCAGTTACATACAGCCACGTCGTTAGGGTAGGGTCCCTGGGGGCTGGGCCCCAGCAAGTAAGAATTAAGCCCCAGCAAAACCTTGTTCAATTCAGCAGATAGACTGATTCGTTTTCTTCGTACAAATTCAAAAAGATATAGATTTTGATACGTTTTTGGCAGCTTAAAATTGTCAGAAATGAGTTCTCTGAGTCTTTAAGTCTTCAAATTTTCTGAATACAAAATCTGAGCCCCAGCATCAATTCATTCCTAGCGACGGACTGGTTACATATAAAAGTTGGTATAAATTTACAATTGATTCATTTTAAGTTTCATTTTTTTTGTGGAAAAACTTCTTGGAAAACTTGGAAAGTGTTAAGGCGGATCTCTTATCACTAGTACGCTACACTTATTGACTGATTCTCTCCAAATTTAGCGTCTATATTATAAAGCAGACGAAACTATGTGTGGCTCTTAAGGGGAAAATACTAACACGTGTGTAGTTGACAACCATTTTGAATCTCTTCTTCGCCTTGGATTTTATAGAAATGCTACAATGTTTCGACAAAACCTTCAAATCACATTTAAAGCATTTCGAAACGTTTAAATGTGATTTGAAGGCTTAGTTGAAACTTTATTTTTTCAAAATGCGACTTATTGAGTTGAGGGAGAGATTCACAATGAATGCATATTTCCATTGTTCAACAGCATTTTTAACGCAAAAGTTACGAATTGATTAGTTTGCACATTGCACCATTGTGCTATTTTCATTTTTTCCTTCGAATAGAATAGATCTATGGCAATCTCAAGTAAGCGACAAAACAATATACATACCAATAACAGCACACAAGACTAATTGTAGAAACATCTTGATTGAAACAAGTTATACTTTATAGACAAAATTTTCAATGTTGCCCGTAAGGTAGTTATTTTTTTAACTGTTGCTCAGTCCTATGTTACATAATTACACGTATATTTGAAGCTACAGCTACAGCTATTGGTTGATAGAGCCTGACGTCATTATATCCTTTCCTAGAAATTTTATGCTACTCCATTCCGTGAATGCATATATGTAGATCAATAGCCTCCAGCAATACAGTGGTGTTTCTACCAGCCCAACTTTATAGGCCTTATTAGAGAACAGGGCGAGTTTTCTTGGAAAACGTCTAAGTGTGTTATGGAGAGAAGCCACGCCACTGACATGTATAATCACGTTTATCCACTTTTGGGTCGCTAATTTTTGAGAATTTTCACCATGTTAAAAGCCTAACATCGCTTAAATTGTTGTATCTATACAAAGCTGGAATAAGTCCATTTATAGACATTGCCGGTTATTCTACAATGTCCCAGGGTTCGCACAGGTCATGGGAAACCTGAAATATCAGAGAATTTTAAAAACCGTTTTCCAGACATGGAATATCAGGGAAAATCATAATAATTTTTGGGAAATTTGCATCTTAATCTGGAAAAATAATATTTCACATTGGCTACATCAATATGTTTGTAGAATAAACACGATCAAGAGTAGTCTTAATTATCCTGTACTTTCATTACGTGAGACATGTGCAGAGTGAAATGAGCCTGGTTAATCGCGCGTAAAGATATATCAATATAGGAGACTAGTAAAAGTAATGTATCTTGGATCACGTGATATTTCCGGTCTTTCTCTGCGTGCTAAAAACAACATTGGGACTCAGACCAACAAAACTTTGTATGTAAATGATGGTATACGAATGTAGTTTGTGTTGTTTTCGGAAATGCTCTTTCTCCTTCCCTTTTGGCCTATTTTTGATTAATTTTTGGTGTAAATTTGGAATTTGATGTCTGAAATTGCATTTTCTTCTAGGTTTGTGAGATGAAGTGGATAAAATGTAGTGGTCTACTTTCAGTTTGGCTAGCTCAAGATTTTCATGGTCATGATATATTGAAATTTTGTCCAGAAACTAAGTATTGGCCAGGCGTTCATCTGACATATTGGAATGTTGTCAACGAGATTTCTAGAAAAAGTTATAGAAGGTTGAATTTAGTGATTTAACATGGAAACAGATGGTAAATGAATTACCTGTCTGAGTCCATCGTTTGCTCGAAGAAATATTTTATAGATCTAAATGACAGATTCTTTTGAAATTATTTTCATTTTATTGTTGCAGAGCTGAAATATAAATTTTATAAGCCAATATCAAACACAACTCTGTTTACACGTTTCCAAGACAGGGTCAGAGAATAGCACAGAAGACTAACTACAGAAACATATTGATTGAAACAAGTTATTTATACTTTTATAGAAAAGAATTTCCCTGGTGCTCGTTAAGTGGTTATTTTTTTACTGTTGCTCTAGTCCTATTGGATCGTGAGAGTGCATGAAGCCGTCCGGTCTAAGCCCCTGGTAATTGGCCAATTCTATAGAGTTAATAAAACAGATTGATAATACAGTTGGTTCTTTTCTTAGTTTAAATTACTTAACATCTAATTCACTACATTTATTTTTAGTTACATACTTTTTACTTTTTACTATTTACTTTTTACTATTTGAATTCATGACAACACTGGAGGCCATGACCGGAAGCATGGTTATTACAAAAAGTACGGATCAGATTAAACTTATAAAAATATAAGGAAACATTTTGGAACATGGACAGTCAATTCAATAGTCTCTTGCAGAACACCTATGTTACATATATTCTAATCTCCAATCAAGGAGCTTTATTCTTAAAATGAAGCAAAACTGAAAAGTGAAAAGTGAGATATAATGAGCATCATTACATAATATTGACGTCAACTATTCTTTCTTGTTCTAGTTTTTTTGTTACATTGTATGGTAATAATATAATTATCCATATTGTAGCAATGCCAGTTTCCGCAAAATTATTTGGACCCGTTTGATTGGTTTTCTTTGAAGTTGATACCAAACCCATTATTTCATGATATTATATTTAGTGTTTATAATATATGATACGTTCTTTCGTATCATGATATGTGTTATTATTGTGTTATGTAAATATATACATCTGAATAGTTTTCAGTTTGATAAATTGACGTATCCTTTTTTCTATTATTAGTGCCATTGATTCGCAAAAAAACAGGAGCCATTCCATTAGCTTATTGCAAGAATCATCACTTCATCTCATAATGTGCGAAGGGTTATCCTGGATCAATAACGCCCGGGTTTTCATATGAGCGGCTACATAATTTAAACTTTCAGACAAAAAACAAAACCGATTCAAAATTAACAGTGCGTATCTACATTCGTCTAGAAGGGCAGAGATATGAATAGCCTATAATAAATGAATTCACGCACAAACTGGGACTGGAGGCATCCAACTCTAAACACTTATACGGAGCTTACCCTATCAAAATTGACAATATATAGGACTCAATAACAAAACATATTTTTTCTGCACATAAATGTAAAGCAATTAAAATATCTGCAAAGTTCTGATGTAGTAAAAAATGGATAAAAATTACAATGACTCCCAAATGACGTTATATTGGCTGGCTGGCTTTCTGGGCCTACCAAGATGGCGTCGCTCTAGAAAAGTTGCGTCACTCTGTTCTATGACGTTATATAGCACAGGGCGCCTCCAGTCTATTAAAGCTCCTTGTGACCAATAGAGTCTGACGTCATTATATCTTTTCCTAGAAATTGTGGGCTATTTTTGAATGTATACATATGGCAATTCTCGGCAGTTTCCGTTTGTTGAATATGTCGCGGAGGCCGTTTGGAATGTATATTCTAAAATATTCTATGTAAATTGATAGTCTCAACAAGTACAGTGACATCTACGGATGGGGGAGATGCAAAAAAAATACCGTCCCGTCTTGACCCTAAAAATGTACAATTCGCTACTGAGAACATATTTATAGCTGACACAGTTTCAGAAATATCAACAACAAAATATTTCTTGATGGTCTTTTGCAGGTAGAATTTCAAGTTGCCCCATATCCAAAAATGTCCACAACATATTAAAGTAACTTTATGCCAAATTTGGTGCTTGTATTACAAAATGCACCATACTTGCATATCTGGGGTCTATATCGCTGCACAATAGCGTTTTTTGTTGTCTTTTCAACCGAAAAAATGTAGCCTATTATCTATAACTATAGTGCAAAACTGATTTAGTAATTTAATTTATTTTTGAATAACAATGTAACCTTGATATTTTATCATTTTATGGAGAGATGTTATTAAGGATGTTTTTTTAACGAATTATAATATAATATTTAATATTATGTATTGTTAAGAAACGCTCCAGTAGCCTACAATTACAGGTAAATAAAAAACATCAATAAATTTGAATTAAAACGTATACACCCTTGAAATAAATAGACACATTGGGGTGCAAATCTGTGTCACTTCGGCAATCCTCGGCAATTTGCGCAAAGCTGAATCTGCAAGCGTTCCATATTACTTGAGTATCGCGAAGTTAAACGAAATGATCGATTCTGTATGTATACAGGCCTATTTATATGATGATGGTCAAGTTTGATATAAGTAACATTCGGATGAACGGTTTTGGAGTTATTGCCCTTGCGACTTAGATAGAGTGTGAAATTTGTCTTGTAGACCAGCTAGCATTTTCACAATGGTCAAGGCATTACGAACATTGTCTAATAAATACCTTGACTACAATAGCTAATGTTCTTGTATCACAGCGATTTTGTTGGATTGTACGCCAGCGAATCATCCTTACCATTTATAGACGTTCTGTGAAAGGCCCTGAAAGGCTGTATTCACCAGTGTAAATTCCAATCAAATCAGTGCATTTACAAACCCCTGTGATACAAGAAAGTTGACTACTGTAGTCAATGTATACGACGGAGTTCGTAAAACCTTGACCATTGTGAAGAAGACATTACCTCTTGGATGTGGTATATACAAGTCTATTTATTAAAATTATTTCGTATAAACGAAATATTTAAATCGTTTAATCGAAATAATTAATTCGTTAAATCGAAATAATAAATTCGTTAAAACGAAATATTAATTCGTTAAAACGAAATATTAATTCTTTAAAATGAAATATCATTTTGTTAAAATGGAATATTATTTCCTTAAAATGAAATATTATTTCAAAATGAAATATCATTTGGTTGGAACGAAATATATGATATTATTTCGCTTAAAGGAATTAATTATTTCGAATTAACGATATATAAAACGAAATAATTTTTAAAAGTATATAAAAGTTGTGCCTAAGGGGCTCCGTGCGTATCAGAGAGAACCACCCAGGTGTGAAGTTTCTGCCAAGATAATATATAAATACTCGTAACTAAGGGACGAGCACCATTTCAACAAGGACCACTTAAGGGGTAACAGGGGAGATTTCTTCTACAAAGTATAACTTTTTTCAAGATGTTTCTACAGTTAGTCTTGTGTGCTATTATTGGTATGTATATTTTATTTACGTTGGTCAGATCGCTTTTTATTCTTAAAATTCCCGGATGAACAAACAATGGATCAAGTAGCCCTTTCTTGATTTTGAAGGTAGAATTTCGGATTCATCACAAAATATCACAGTGACGTATATTACAGTGAAAACGGCCTTGTCTCAGATCGCTGGAAATACGAACTTCGAATTCTTAACAAACCAAAAAGGTGGAGGGCCTTCGCATTAATAAACATTGCATACAGAGCGTTGCCCATCTACATTAGTCAAATTTTGAATAGATATAATTCGTAAAATTCAATTTCAATTTCAATGACTTGTGAAGTCTTTTTATTTTTAGAACTCAAAATTTCGACTTGTGGAACCCGAAATTTCGTCGTGTGAAATCCGAAAATTCGTCGTGTGAAATCCGAAATTTCGACTAGTGGAATCCGAAAAACCGGGGAACCTGCTCCTTTAAAGGAGCATTCCGGTCTTTTTTTTGTCAGACGAAATTTAAATTTGTGAAAACTATCTGATGTTGCCCGAATTTCTAACCTGGTTATGAGAGTTTTGCAAACTCTCCGTATTTATCAGGGTTACCAGGTCCCCGACTACGACTAAGCGCAAGTAAATTCACGACTAGCAATTGGTTTGCAAAATTTGGGAATTCCATCGCTTGTTCCCCGCAATCACCGACAAGTGAAGTTGACAGGTAACTGTACTAACGTAGTAACAACGGTCAATTATCGATCCTCATAATGCAGATCATGGTCAAACAAATATCGAACGTTAAATCAAAACGGTCTCACCAATTTGCAAAACGTATGTGATGATACGCACGTTGAGGAAGGAACGTTTTTTGTGCCAAAAAATGCAAAGCATTTAGAAATCCATCTATTTACATAGATTAATGTTTTTTTCAAAACAAAAACATTACTGGTGGGTCGTAGGTTGCCCACCCCTGAGTTAAAGGGATCTTCCTTTTTTCTGTAGGAAAAGTTGAAAGTTTTAACAAAAAATATTCAGTCGTTAAGTTTTTAACGCCAAAACTATTTAAAATGTTTACGTAAGTTCGTTATGGTTTTTGGAAGCATTTAAAGAACTACTGTACGGATTAAAGTAAAAAAAAAAAACTCCTAATTGTAGATAAATTTCTTCTTAAAGTGTCAACTAATAATAGCATGCCATATAAAGCATATTATTGAAATGGGTGGTCAGCAAATGGGTTCTGAGAAACCACACATCCAATTAAGTTTTTAAAAGTTTATTATAACATATCACAAAAACCCTGAAATATTCAAAGCAGAATATTATACAGTGAAAGATAGTAATAGAAAATACATAATATATACAATATAAAGGATTATACAAAAATAGCTCTGTCGTCTTATTGAAAGAATAATAAGAGTATCCTGCGGTGGTTCCAATTACTTAGAATGAATATATATATATTAAATGCCTAACATGTTAATGAAATATAAACAAAGGTTTACCCTAAAGAGGGGTTTTAAACACCAATAGGTATCAAGCAAAGGGCTTGAATAAAAACTATTATATAGCCTAAAATGAAATGAGTTATGATGTAATATTTATATGTTGAAACAGTAAGAAAACTATGTATAACTTTGTACAATTGACCATAACTACCACAAGAGGAAATTACTAACTGAAATGCGCTAAAACTATAATGTACAGATAAAAACAAGAACTAGAAAGAAACTTACCAAAACTAGAGAAAATCCAGTGTTCACAAAACACAATATCCAAATGTGAAAAGAGACAAACAAAACTTCTGATACTAGCAAAGAGAAGGTCTTTACAATCCAGAAACTAATATAGTTGTGAAGGCAAAAAGATACAGAAAAGGCAGAAACCAAGGGGAGTGAAGAAATGAACTCACTCAGATGAATAAGTATTAAGAGAGAGATAGAAAGAAAGAAGATAAGTGAACTGTGCTATAAAACATAAACAATAATTAAAACCTGGATAAACTTAAACAATAATATTTACACCTAAAATATAGCTCCAATACATTATTAACACCAAAACTTCGGGCAGCGATTTCAATTTTTTTCCAATAAATATTGTTATAGGACATAACATTCGGGCGAAATTTGATAAGAGAAATCCGGCTGTTCATAATTTTTTTTTGTCTGCGCCTAGCTCAAATAACTTGTCTTCGTGGTTGCCAGAGCGGCGCTCCCTTTGGCTCCGCCACTGACCAAAACTAGGTATACCTGCTTGATTATCAATTAGTACTCTCCGTTTTAATTAAGCCTTTTAAAACAAATTCAGTTTGATCAAGTTGATATATAGATATAAATAGCATATTTAAGAAATATTTCAGGTATAATTTACAACGATTTTGTTACTGTAAATTGTGCATATACTGTCCCTTTTAAATCACCGTATCACCTGCTAATTGGACGATGATGATTAATTCCCTTTATCTACAATTGTTTATGTACTGTTACTTATAGGAGTATATTATGGTGTCAATAGTCGGTTATTCCCTGATTGTGTACAGGAAAGAAAAGCAGAAATGGAATCAAGCTGTATTTTAAATAGCAGTAGTTCTGATTTAAGGTCCATGACGGTAACAGATGTGACATCATTTCATACTTACCCAATACTTAACATGTGCGCGTAAGTAAAATTCATAACATTACAGTACTTACATTCATAGCCTTACGGTACTTACATTCATAGCATTATGGTACTTATATTCATAACATTACAGTACTTACATTCATAACATTACAGTAGTTACATTCATAACATTACAGTACTTACATTCATAGCATTATAGTACTTACATTCATAACATTACGGTACTTACATTCATAACATTACAGTACTTACATTCATAACATTACAGTACTTACAATCATAACATTACAGTACTTACATTCATAACATTACAGTACTTACATTCATAACATTACGGTACTTAGAAAAACAGAAGATGAGAAAATTGAAAAATTTTCTATATTATAACATTTTACATTGCAAAAATGTGCATATACCCTCGAACAATTTTTTAAGATTTTGTGTCTTTGGAGAATGCCATGCCATGCTACTGCAGTCAAGGTATAAATCGAAGTTTGTAATAGCTTGACATTGCGAAGATGTGCAAAGATGCATCACTTAAAGTTGAAGAGGAAAGCAACAGCTATTTTGAGCCTGCTTTTGAACTGAAAATATGTGATGCTGACGTGGACAAAGCGTCCAGGCATTCGGGCGGGACAGTAATAAAAATAGGACGTTTAAATCATTTGTAAATTATATTTCAGTTATTTCGATGAGTTCGTCAACCTTTTGCAATGTGTATATGACATAAACCTAAAATGCTATAATGATAGCTTTAAAAACATATTTCCTACAAATGAAATGCTCGAGTTAACGTTGAATTATATATGTAACGAATACCTTAGTAAGTATTGTAAAAATAACAATGTCACACAAATGCAGTCATAAGTTTCTTATGCAATAGGCATGCAATTTAGTTGTGACTTGCGTTTGGAATTCATTAATACCCTCTTTCATTATTCATTTTCGGGTGGTGCTCTAAAAATAATGAAGTTCCGAAAGAAAATCTTCCGCAAAATATCAGGCAACAACCCGAATACAAAGAAAAATCACAGATTCACTCGTTCGATGCTCGGAGTCGTGACCCGCACGACATCTCAACCCTTCAATATTTTCGGGCAAACCAGCCTTGTGATAAACCTCCCCAATGGACAACAGAATAATTATTTTAAGAGAAAATACAGGAATATGTCCTACCTACGGCTACGGAAGCTCAAATATACGGAAGCTCAAATACGACATGTTTTTGAATTTTGAATTTGAAAAAATACTTTTGATTTTGTAAAAATATTTTTAAATTTGTAAAAAATATTTTTGAATTGAAAAATTAATTTTGAATTGAAAAAAAAACTTTTGAATCTGTTCGATATGTCTGTGACCACTTTATGCTGATGAAGCTGAAATCGTTTTATTGACAACTCGATTCCATGAAACATTATCATGCATGAGAATTTACTAATTTCAAAAAGTCAAAAGTATTTTTACAAATTCAAAAATATTTTTTATAAATTCAATAGTATTTTTTTAAAAAAAAAAAAAAAAAAAAAAAATTCACGGACGAAATTCAAAAGCGTGTCGTATTTGAGCTTCTGTAGACGGTTGCTATTTAATGCTTGGATTTATATATATAAATATATATATTCAATATTTATATGTACTTCTCAATTTCAGTGTATAATAAAACTTGTGTGGAAAATGCAATTGACAAAATTGATTTATGTGTTTCCCAAGGAATAGATTTACCACCTATTTTCATTTTTATAGAAAGAATTTACATCCCTTGAAATATCGTTTTAAAAAACTTCTGTCTTAATATTAAAGGGGCATTCTATTTCTTCGAAAATATTTTTATGAAAAATCTAGAGATACGTGACCCATAACTCATCTGAAGGATTAAAATAAAAAATCCTGCAGTTTTTTTTAACGCCAAAACTTGTTAAGTTTGTTATGTTTTTTTGGTAAGTGCTAGAAAAGTACTGTACTGATTTAAGTTAAACAAACTATAATAGAGATATATCTTTCAAATGGTTTCAACTAAAATTATCGCGTCTTTATGAGGCCCATTACAAATAATAGTGTGAGCTGATTACTTCATTATTTTGTACAATCCATTCTTGATAAACCCTTTTGAACACAATTCAGTTTGATCAAGTAAATGTTAATAGCATATTTCAGTTTGATCAAGTAAATGTAAATAGCATATTTCAGTTTGATCAAGTAAATGTAAATAGCATATTTCAGTTTGATCAAGTAAATGTAATGAGCATATTTCAGTTTGATCAAGTAAATGTAATGAGCATATTTTAGTTTGATCAAGTAAATGTTAATAGCATATTTCAGTTTGATCAAGTAAATGTTAATAGCATATATCAGTTTGATCAAGTAAATGTAATTAGCATATATCAGTTTGATCAAGTAAATGTAAATAGCATATTTCAGTTTGATCAAGTAAATGTAAATAGCATATTTCAGTTTGATCAAGTAAATGTAAATAGCATATTTCAGTTTGATCAAGTAAATGTAAATAGCATATTTCAGTTTGATCAAGTAAATGTAAATAGCATATTTCAGTTTGATCAAGTAAATGTAAATAGCATATTTCAGTTTGATCAAGTAAATGTAAATAGCATATTTCAGTTTGATCAAGTATATGTAATTAGCATATTTCAGTTTGATCAAGTAAATGTAAATAGCATATTTAGTTTGATCAAGTTAATGTAAATAGCATATTTTAGTTTGATCAAGTTAATGTAAATAGCATATTTCAGTTTGATCAAGTAAATGTAAATAGCATATTTCAGTTTGATCAAGTAAATGTAAATAGCATATTTCAGTTTGATCAAGTAAATGTAAATAGCACATTTTAGTTTGATCAAGTTAATGTAAATAGCATATTTCAGTTTGATCAAGTAAATGTAATGAGCATATTTCAGTTTGATCAAGTAAATGTAATTAGCATATTTTAGTTTGATACTTAATATTTTCATCTGTGACGTATATTGACCGTCGGTTCACATAATATACTCATTATGTGTTTTGGTGGTGATCAAAAAGATGATTTATTGTTGTAAATTAATCGCATTAAAATAGCTAGAGTTATTGTCCCTGAAATTTATACAATATATGCCTAGTAACATTATCTTATTCGTTGTATGCAATTGCATCAAAGATACGATGTTACTCCAGCATTACGTGCATTTCAAATCTATTCCTAAATCTATTCTTAAATCTATTCTTAAATCTATTCTTAAATCTATTCTTATAAATCTATTTTTGATTCTATTTCAATTCTATTCTTAATTCTATTCTTAATTCTATTCTTAAATCTATTCTTAATTCTATTCTTAAATCTATTCTTATATCTATTTCAATTCTATTCTTAATTCTATTCTTAAATCTATTCTTATATCTATTCTTATATCTATTTCAACTCTATTTCAATTCTATTTCAATTCTATTTCAATTCTATTTCAATTCTATTTCAATTCTATTGATCTATTCTTAAATCTATTCCGAAATCTATTCTTAAATCTGTTCCAAACCATTTCAAATCTATTCTTAAATCTATTCTTAAATCTATTCTTAAATCTATTCTTAAATCTATTTCAATTCTATTTCAAATCTATTTCAAATCCATTTCAAATATATTTCAATTATATTACAATTATATTTCAATTATATTTCATATCTATTTCAATTCTATTTCAATTCTATTTCAAATCTATTTCAAATCCGTTTCAAATCTATTTCAAATCTATTCTTAAATCTATTTCAAATCTATTCTTAAATCTATTTCAATTCTATTTTGAATCTATTACAATTATATTTCAATTATATTTCAATTCTATTTCAATTCCCAGGTCTCAAAAGAATAGAAAGAATTGCATCGAAGACTCCGAAGAATTAAATGATTGTCCAAAAACTAAGAGAACTTCTTCGGGAGTGGCTAAACTCCTAAATCCTGAAGCATCTGTAGGAAGGGCCGGATTTGAAAATTGGGACGTTGGGACTACAGCTACACCCATAGACCAATCAGAGAATTCAACTACACCCATAGACCACTCAGAGAATTCAACTACACCCATAGACCACTCAGGGAATACAGCTACACCAGCTAGGCCAATCTGTTGTATTACTGACAACCATGTCTCTTATGATGTTTATATTTTAATATTGCTTGTGATATGCTTTTACATTTCGTGTTAATTTTAATTACAACAATATAAATTTATTCTTAAATAATAAGATGACTACATAATGGTTTCACAAAATATATTATCGGCGTGGCTAATTCGACACTGTAGTCTGAGTTTCAACAAATTCGAACCATATCTTTTGTATCTTGGACACCATTGTAGTATATATATATATATATATTATGTGTCTTCCATATTTGCTATGTAAAATGTAGCTGTATATATTAATGCGTCTAATAAATATTAATTAATACCACATTATATATATATATATATATATATATATATATATATATATATATATATATATATATATATATATATATATATGTATATCTGGCCTAAAATTTTCTAAAATTTTCTAGCGATATCTTATTCAGAAGTGGAGATATTACGAAATGTGTTGAACGTATACAGAATTTGTGCCTCGGCTGTTTCCAATAATTCCGACTTCATTCCTGCTAGAATGCACATTTGATTCCAGATATATTACCATTGGTCAAATGACTTTAAAAACATTCCGTTTGTTTGTTGCAAAAACAAAAAATGCAACTGCCAATTAAGAGGAACCTTTAATTGCCACGCAAAATTTTCGAGGTAAATAGCCTTACGAATGGTCGAGAACTATTTGCCACGTACGTGGTAAAAAGCCACTGCCTATTGGTTTACCAATGATACATTTTATGATCATTCTGGATCCATATCTTACGAAGTTTTTGTTTTCGTTGTCCCGCCCCTGATATTTAAATTACAAGAATAACATGATCACGTGACAATATAAACATAGTTCCGGTAAATAATGTCTGCCATTCAGTACAGTGATAAGTTGCAGAGCGTCAGAAGGACTTTAATGTAAGACCGTTTGACTGTTCTTGAGTTGTGAACAAAATAAGTTGCAGAAAGTTTTATAATAAAACAAAATTCATTAAAGCTATGTAGATATTTAATAGAAAAGGACATATTACAGTCTATATGTTGTTGATTAAATAGACATAATTATTATACATTAAAAATATACTAAGCTACAATATAATACAAT